TTGGGGACGGTCCAATTCTTCACTGTCTCCACTTTTCTTGGGTCCATTTTAATACCATTGGGTTCGATAATAAGACCGAGATAGGTGGTGCTTTGTATATAAAATTCGCATTTCTCCGGTTTCAACAGTACTCCATTTCTTTGTAGGGCTTCTAGGACCTTTTCGATGTGTACTTGATGTTCCTCGAAGATGTCGCTGTAAATAAGAATATCGTCAAAGTAGGCTGTACAGAACATATCAAGGTAGTCGCGGACGCAATCATTGATGAAATGTTGAAAGGTGGCTGGTGCATTGGTAAGGCTGAAGGGCATCACCGTATATTCGAAATGCCCGTAACGCGTTCGGAAGGCTGTTTTCCATTCTTCACCCTCAGTCATTCGGATCTGATTGTACCCTTGGCGAAGGTCAAGTTTGGTGTACCACTTGGCTTTGGAAAGGCGGTCGAGAGTTTCCCGGATGAGTGGCAGCGGGTAACGGTTTTTGACAGTAAGTTCGTTGAGGCCACGATAATCGACACAGAGGCGGAGTGTTCCATCGGCCTTTTTAACAAATAGGACAGGGGCACCGGCAGGTGAAGAGCTGGCCTGAATGAAGCCTTTTTGGAGGTTGTCCTGTATGTATCGTTTAAGCACAATGAGTTCCTCGCGGGACATACCATAAAGTGGCCCAAAAGGGGGCTCTTTCCCTTCCTTAAGCGGTATCTTGTGATCGTAGGGGCGGCGAGGCGGCATCTCGTTAGCGAATTTCTCATCCATCATCTCGTGAAAACTCTTATACTGGGTTGGGACTCGGATTCTCCAGTCTTCCTTAGGGGCCTCGCCTATTGTTTGATCTATTTCCTCAATAGTTGTACTAAAGATTCGGAGTTTGTCCCTTCGAGCAAAGCGACAAAGAGCAGCTGAACTGACGAGGTGGAAACGGGGGGGTGGTGTAACCCCTCTAATGGGAACGGGTATCGCGGAAGAGTTGCACTTGCGTTTGCAGTATTCGGAGTCGAACAGTATGCTATTGTCCTTAAACCGTAATGTGGCGTCGTGCAATTGAAGCCAGGGGATTCCGAGGACAAGTGGGTACGAGCTGAGTTTAGTAACAAAGAAGGGGGTAGTTTCATGGTGGGAGTCAATTGATAGCGGTAGGTAGCAGAGGTGGGTAATTTGTCCGGAAGATATGGGCCGTCCGTCGATGACTTCAAGAGTGCGGGGTGATTTGAGGGGGAGAAATGGGAAGTTGTTATGGCGCGCGAATGTTTCATCAATGAATGCGAATCCGGAGCAACCGGTATCAATCAATGCGTGAGTTTGAATGGATATTTTATTGTTTATAATTTTACAAGAAGCAACAAAATGATCCCCATCCAATTTATCCTCCACAGACGATACCGAGAAGCCAGAGATAGAAAACGCAGACAAAGGAGAAACATTGGAAGGTCCCGGGCAGGGGCCATTAATCAAGCCAGGGACTACTGAAAACCCGACTCGGAGGAGGCGGGACTAGCGAACGGTGGAACAGCGGGGTCGACGGCCGTATGACCGGGTGCGAGGAGGGCGCCTCTCATAACCGGTTGGTTACCACGCGGGCGATTGGCAGAGGGGCAGTTGGCAAAGACATGACCGGGGTTAGCGCAGTACATACAGAGATTGTTGTGCCTTCCCCATTGTTTTTCAGCGGCAGAGGTTTTGCGTTGTCCATTGACAAAAGTGTATCGTTGTTCGGCGGCAGGGCGTTGAGTAGGACGGCTTTGGAGGGCGGAGAGGTCCATTGGGGCGAGGCCTCCAGCGGTATGAGATGGGTGTGCGATAGCAGCGGGGGCGGTGAATTGTCCCATCGTATTCCGAATGGCCCGTTGTTCAGCTTTGCGGCCCCGAACCTGGTTATCAATTGTCATCAACATGGTGGCATAGGCCTCGACGATGTTAGGCCTGTCTGTCCGGTATGTAATGGCGTCCTTCAGGTCTTCCGACAGTCCTTCGGCCAGGGCATCGATCTTGGATTCTTCGTTGTAGTCCAAGTATGACACGATACGGAGGAATTGCGAGTAATAGGTGGCGAAGTCCCCTTTACCTTGCTTCAGGGCAACGAGTTGGCGACGGGCGGTACCCTGGGGGTCTGGGTCTCCAAACGAGGCTTCCAAGTGGGCAACGAAGGCAGTGACGGAGGAGAAGGGGGCGGCAGGGTTAGCGTTAACAAGTGGAACGACCTGGTCAAGGGCACTTCCTTCCAGGCAACTGACGGAATAAATAACTTTTGCTGCCTCGTTTCGGAACCGATCGTGGTTGACTTCAAGTTTCATTCCAAGTTGGATGGTGAATCCGGGGAGCTTGGTATGGGTGCCATCGAATTTTTCAGGGTCTGGAAACTTTCCGGATCTGAAGGCGGGGACAGGAGCAGGTGGGGGAGCAGCGGCAACGGGGACAGGGATGGTAGGGGCGGAGGCAACACGGGCGACATTGAGGTCGAGGTTGAGCCGGGTTATCTGCTCCTCGAGGTTGTCAACGGTTTCATTGGCGGCGGTGAGTTGTGTATGAAGGGTGTCCCTTTGGAAGCGGACGCGCTGGACGAGGGTGGCGATGTTGTTGAATAATTCAGCAAAGTCGGTTTCATACATCTGCCTGAATCCTTCTACATCGTTGGGTGGAGCCCATACAGGTGGGTCGGGGGTGGACATGTCGTACGGTGCGGATGACGACGCAACGTAATCTCAAGGGGTGGAGTAGCGAGTATTCCGCAGGGTATGAAGGATGTAATAGGGGACCATATAGGAACTCGCAATAGGTGTCCTACGGGACTCTAGCGTTGATAAGGTTCAACGGGACAAGGAGAAAGCGAGGCGGTAGTCTTCTTAAAGAAAGAAGAGGACGATAATATTGTATAGCAATCGACAGCGTAGATACAGAAGACGTTGCGTAAAGAAAGAAGAAAAGGAAAAAGAACGAGAAGTACAAACAACCCCCCTTAATATACTCAAGGAAATCCCAGCGATGACAAATCCAACATAACTCATACATTAACAACCAACAGAACCCGGTAGAACCCAATAGAACCTTTCTGACTAATCCGACCCTTTGCAACCCCGTATATCCACTAGTCGATCCACGAAAATCCTCAAGCCAAGGGACATCATTCCTATTCGGTTTCAACAACGTACCTGGAGCCAGCAGCAGAGAGTGCGAGTATTGGTATTTCTGTATCATCACCGCATACCTGTAGAAATAGTTGTGAAAGGATTGAAAGTTACGACTGTAGGTTTTCCGCTGCCCAACACAGATAAAAGCATCAGATTTCTTTAGGGTTCCCCAGCGTACACTAAGCGACTGGGTTTTGAAACAGGACAAAATAGAATCACTTGCAAAATATAGTTCTGTTCGTACTCTTCGTACCTTTACCCCTTGCAGATGGCCATATCTCGAAGCCCGCTTGTATAGCCAATTTTTAGAACGGAGAGAAAAAGGGCAAGCTGTACGCCGAGGATGGTTCAGGATACATGCTGAGGATATATTCAAGGATTTGTTTTCTGGGGTGGAAACTTCTATTTTCTGATTTTCGAATGGATGGCTTCCTGGTTTTCTCGGTCGATACCGAATCAGTCTCCGATCCATAACAAAGATTGCCCAGAAAGTGCCAGAGGACTACCGCAATCTTGTAATCAGTTGTCTTCGGTTCAACCGTCGGAACTCACAGTTTGATCCCTACGTTTTCTATTCTCAACGGACCCAGTTTGGAGATGGATTTCACATCAATAGACGTCAAAACCGTTATGATTTATCCAATATCTGCAATCTGAATGAGACACCTATACCGTTTGAATACCTTATCGGCCGCACATACAATACTATAGGAGAAAAAACTGTCTGGGTAAAAGAGTCAAGAAGCGGTTAGGATAAACGTCAAGCTAGTTTTGTGTTATGCATTTTTGCAGATGGATTTAATAGGATACCTCATATGATTATCTTTCATGGACAGGGCAAGCGGTTAGGGTCAGAACCAGAAAAATATCACCCTGAAGTGATTGTGGAGTTCAACGACACTGCGTATATGACTGAAATTCTATTCATAAAATACATTGAAAAGTATCTACTACCGGCACTAAATGGGAAACCCTCTCTCTTCGCTATGGACTTATACACATCACATAAAACACCTGCTGTTTTAGACCTCCTCCGTTCAAATCAGATCACACCTAGTCCTATTCCCGCTGGCTGTACTAGTCTGGTACAGCCAATAGATGTTTCTATTAACAAGCTCTTAAAAGAATATATGCATAGCTTGACAGATGAAGCAATTAGGGATTGTGAAAGTGTCGAGACATTTGAGAAATGGACAGTTAGTCACAGGTGGGTATTAACCACATGGGCTGTTGGAGACGCTTGGTAACTATTTGCCGTTGAAAAAGATGAATTAATTAGAAGGGTCTTCCGGAAAGTGGGTCTTTCACTTGCTGCTGATGGTAGGGAAGATGATCAGTTAGACATCAAGGGCTTCAAAGATTTAGTCATTGGCGATTGGAAATTACCTGTAACCTCAACCTCTGATTTTGCAGATGTAGACAGAGTTCATGATGAGGACGATTCTATAGAGTTTTTAGTATCCGGGGAATAATTGATATGATATCACGTACCTGCACCTCTCTGCATATGCGCCGAGCCTTTTTCTCTTTGGTCCGGACATACCCCCTCCTGTTGCGGAGATAGTGGATTTCCCAAAAATTAACGGTAGTATATCATCGGTCGTTGATACTCTAGCCCTCTAGGACCATGAAGCCCTAGCCCCGAGCCCACAGCCCTTGACACACCCCACTTCCTTCCCGGTTGTCGGTACGGTAGCCCATTGAAACAGCGAATCACGGATCAGGAAGTGACCACAACGAAAAAGATCCTGACCCGGTTTCTTTTCTTAGAGGAAAAAAAAAAGGCACAACCTCTCCTCCTCAGCCCCCGCCGTCATAAGTAACCTCATAATCTTTCATCTTCACTTTCATCGTACCCCCTGCAAACACCATCAAAATGTCTATCCCCGCTTTCGCTGACATTGCTAAGCCTTCCAACGATGTATGTTCCTTCTCGCCATTCGTCTTGAACTTGGAATCTATAAATGTTGGGTCAGCTGTGCTAACAATCCATTTGATATAAAGCTCCTTTCTAGGGATTTCTACCACACTGCCTCTGGTGGGTCTTTCCGTTGCTTTTTTAAATCTTGCACTTCGTGCTTGTATTCGTCCCGGTTCAATTATAATCTAACCCATAGTACAGCCAACCTTGAGGTCAAATCAAAGGCCCCCAATGGCGTCGCGTTCACTGTCAAGGGAAAGAGCGACCACAAGGCCGGAGCTATCGCTGGTCAGGTATACATTCACAGCGTCTCATACAATTCCATTTGAGTTGGGCAGCGGGATTAATTTCAATTCTTCTATACAGATTGAGGCCAAGTACACCGACAAGCCTACCGGTGAGTTTCTTCCATACGATTAAATCCACCCTTCGCAAACTGATGGTGGGTCCGTAGGTGTCACCTTGACCCAGGCTTGGACTACCGCCAACGCTCTTGACACTAAGGTTGAGCTCGACAACACCCTTGCCAAAGGCCTGAAGGCCGAGGTTATCACCAACTTCTTTCCCTCCAGCAAGTCCAAGGGTGCTAAGCTCAACCTCCACTATCGCCAACCCCTCTTTCACGCTCGCGCTTTCTTCGATCTCCTTAAGGGCCCATCCTTCAACGGTGATGTTGTCCTCGGACACGACGGATTCCTCGCTGGTGCCGAAGTCGGATACGACGTTGTCAACGGCAGGATCACCCGTTACTCTGCTGCTGTCGGATACTCCGTTCCCGAATACACCGCTGCCATCACAGCTACCAACAACCTGAACGTTTTCGCTGCATCCTACTACCACAAGGTTAACGCCCAGGTTGAGGCGGGTGCCAAGGCAACTTGGGACGCAAAGAGCGGGAACGCTGGTGGTGTTGGTCTAGAGATTGCCTCCAAGTACAAGTTGGACTCTGCCGCCTTTGTCAAGGCCAAGATCAATAACCAGGGAATCGCTGCTCTTGCTTACAACCAGCTCCTCCGCCCTGGTGTAACCCTTGGTCTTGGCGCATCCGTTGATACTCAGCGTCTGAATGAGTCTGCTGCCGCTCACAAAGTCGGTCTTAACTTCGTTTTTGAAGCTTAAACGTAAAACTTTAAAATAATTTGGGTAGAACTTTGTAATAGCTCTCTACACATTATTCGCATGGGATTCAGGCTAACGAAATTTAGAGATACCATGGCGAAGTAAGAATCCGGGAGTATATTGATACGCATGGGGTTCCAAAGTTGGCGTTTGTAGAGTATTGAAGTTCTTAAAAAGAAACAAAGATTTCATTCATAATTCTCTAGAGTTCTTCCGTCCAGCATTTCCTTTTAATATCCAATGTACGCTACAGGCAATTTCTTGAGCAATTTTGGTACAAACTATCTGTGAGGTAATGATCGCCGATATCCCAGCTCAAGCTCGATATTTTTTCCTCAATCCAAAACACCGTCCTACTCGATTATAAATTATCCCTTAAGACAAGCTTTCTTGGCTCATGCTCCGGCGTGCTAGATATAGGAAGCCGCTTCTGTTCCAGATGAGTAGCAATAAGCCACAATTATCTATCGCTCCAATTACACCCCAGGAAGTAACCATGAGTGTATTCTGAGTCAGGAGAAGTCAAGGAGTAAAGAATCAATGTTTTGCACTTCAGTGTACATGACTTGCTAGCACCCGCCATTAAAATATATCTTAAAGAACTAGGCTCTACGGGGTTATATAAACAGCTATTGAAACTACTCCAACTAATATAGTTGTTACACCAATTAATGGATATATTATACTGGTATCGGGCTCAAGTCGGTGCTTTTTAGCTCTTCGTGCCCACCGGCTCTGCTGCTCCTCATGTTGCCGATACTTTTGTCCGTAGTTGAAATGGGGGACATCATCAGTCCTTGCAGTTGTTGGACCACCCGCTCCAAACCCCCCAGGCCCGCTACCTGGGCTAGAACCAGGCCTTTCTTGCCCTGCATGTGCAGGCTTCCCTTTGAACCTACTCCACCCACCATTTCTGAAAAACGAAGGTGGCGGCCCGTGAAACTGGCCGCGCCTCTTGCTTAATCCACTCGCAGGTCGACCCCCTACAGGACCAGCAGGCCTGCTCCCATGCTTCCGTGCGAGTTCGAAATCGTATTTAGCGCGGTGTTTTTCATGCCCGAGGATAGCATAGGCGGTGCTTATCTTGATGAAGCGGTTTGAGGCTAGGGGGTCATTACGGTTGCGGTCCGGGTGATGAGCTTTGCTTAATTCAAAGTATCGTCTATGTGTGGGTCAGTCGTTGCATGTAGAGAGAGAAAGTGAGTATATTATAGATAGTTTTACTTTTTGATCTCTGCACGCGTTGAATTCGAGGGGAGATTGAGAGTTTCGTAATGGGTGTTTCCCTCAGTTTCTGAATGATATATGGTGGAGGTGTGCAGATGCCTATTGAAACGGAAGGCATGGGTTCTAGAGACGGTACGAGAAATCGAGCGCGGTAGCATCACCTACGGGTCATACCGAATTGCAATACTGGTTTGAGGGTATATGGGATTATATCACTTATGGGAAGTTTAGAACACCTCCTGATAGATACTTATGGTATGACGTCTGTGGAGGGGCACTTTTATTTGCGGCTGAGTGGCTTGTGCGCAAAATGCCGTGCAACCGCTCTCATCCAGCCCCATCACCGGGGAAAAATAAAGAAATATCACGCATCGCCTATTCCGTTCTCCCTTCCTAGTAACCAGTTCATCCTCTGATAAACCGGCCTCTTTTACGATTGAAGGTTGAAGATCTTTTTTTAAAAGCACGCCAATTACTTTGTTGAGAATGGGCAGTATGGAGACGACTGCAGCGGAACTTGAACAGAAGCTTAAGGGTATTGATTATTATAACTACCCCGCATGATGTAGAGACCATCCACTGACCTTCTGAACCTTTCCTTTTGTTTAGTTTCCGAGGAGAAAAACAAAGAGGAAGTCCCTTCAAGTGGCCAAGCAGCTGACGAAGACTCTGGAGACGAGGATGAGGTAGATGCTGCACCTGCTGGAGCGACAGGTTTGTTGAACCAGCTACATTAAGTACTCTTTATTTTAGTTCTAAGGCGTATATAGGAGCTGCAAAGAAGAAGAAGAAGAAGAAGAAGCCCAAGAAGAAGACAAAAACAGGGGTCACTGCCCAGTCCAACCCTCCAAGAGTACCGATAGATCAACTATTTCCAAATGGAAGTTTTCCCGTAGGAGAAGAGTGCGAGTATAGGGATGAGAATTTGAAAAGGAAGACAGACGAAGAAAAACGACACTTGGACCGCATGAACAACGACTTTTTGACCGAATACAGGAAAGGATCGGAGATTCATCGTCAAGTGAGGCAATGGGCCCAAAAAACCGTGAAGCCTGGGATGACTCTCACACAAATTGCTGAGGGAATCGAAGATTCTGTGAGAGCGTTGGTGGGACATGACGGACTCACCGAGGGCGATTCCCTTCTGGGGGGAATGGGGTTTCCTTGCGGCTTGAGTATCAACAATTGTGCTGCCCATTACTCCCCTAACGCTGGAAACAAGATGGGTAGGTTTGCCATCCACAACAAATAAATTTCGACTTTTATCCTAATAATTTTCTATAGTTTTGCACCAGGAGGACGTCATGAAAGTAGACTTTGGCGTTCACGTAAATGGAAGGATTGTCGACAGTGCTTTCACCATGACATTTGACCCTGTATACGATAATCTTCTGGCTGCAGTTAAAGATGCGACAAATACTGGTATTAGGGAGGCTGGTATTGACGTCCGTATGTGCGACATAGGCGCCGCGATCCAAGAGGTCATGGAAAGTTACGAAGTAGAGATTGGTGGCCAGACCCATCAAGTCAAGCCCATTCGTAACCTTAATGGTCACAATATCAACCAATTTCAGATTCATGGCGGAAAGAGCGTTCCTATAGTCAAGGGCGGAGACCAGACAAAGATGGAGGAGGGGGAAACATTTGCTATAGAAACCTTCGGAAGTACGGGTAAAGGATATGTTAGGGATGATGTGAGTCCTTACACATTTCTTTTTATTTTACTCAACTCGTTGCTTGTGGTTTACTGATTGCTTCTTACAGCTTGAAACATCACATTATGCTAAGAACTTAGACGCACCTAATGTGTCGTTACGCCTATCTTCGGCGAAGAACATCCTTAACGTCATTCAAAAAAACTTTGGTACCCTGCCATTCTGTAGGAGATACCTTGATCGTCTTGGGCAAGACAAATATCTTTTAGGGGTTCGCCATCCACGGTCCTTGGGTTCATAGAAGCACACTGACCTAGTTTAGTTGAACAACCTCGTGGCAAGCGGGATCGTAGAAGCTTATCCTCCATTATGCGATATCAAGGGTTCTTACACCGCCCAATTTGAACATGTAAGTCTTTTGGGGATGATATGTTCTTGAATTCTGATAACTGATATTCGTTCTTTAGACGATCCTTCTTAGACCCACAGTAAAGGAGGTAATTAGTAGGGGAGATGACTATTAGTGCGTGGACTTGTGGCCATACTTTCTACATTAGCAGGGTATAAAAAACCGGTTCCTCACAACCGAGGGTTTAGCTGTGAAGCATTCTTTGTATCAATATTTAGTAACACAAAAGTTTGCTGTATCATATGAAGTTTAGTCTGACGTGAACAATTCGATTGCGAACATCGGTTTGACGAAGCAAAGGGTGTAAGGTACATTCTTCTAGACAGGTTAGTCTCATCGTTATAATTAATGGGCCATTTTCGTTCCTGGTGCAATCTCCCTGTGCTAGGTATCCTGTTGCGATGGGAGAGTCTTAGCTGCACGAATTATTCCGAACCAACGAAACATGCTTAACCACATGCGGGCGTCAATGATCGATTTGACGGAATAACTTCAGGGACACAACAGTTAGATCTATATGTGTAAACCCCACGGCAAGGCTATTTCAATACCTCTCAAGCATACATAAATATCTCAATAGACTGTTGTGGATTCAAATCCGGTCATCGTAGGAAAGATTGCATATGTACTTGCGGCGAGAATAAATTTCCGCCAAATTTGTAAGTGAAAATGCGGTTGCAACACAAAAGTGGTGGCGGGAACTTATTCTCGCAGCAAGTACATGAGTCACATAAAACTCCAGAAGAACGGTTTGTGGACGCGACTTATATTGCATGTCATACAAAAATGCGCCAGGCTCATGCAATAGTGGCCCAGTTTACAAACGTCAGAAAAATACATGTACAGCCGCATTCGAAAAGTACTGGCACCCTACTATATTGAGTCGTTCATGAATTGTAGCCCACCAACAACCATGGCACTCGCGTATACTCAACTTATTGACAGGTATGACCGCAATAGAGACATTGCAGCTCTCTCTGATAACGGTCTCGAATATGAGAATTGCAAAGTAGAAAGGACTGCCTCGTGAGTTTAGCCCGGAGGTGCCAAAACTTTTCGAATGCGGCTGTACATATGTACATACAAATGGGGTGCGGCCGAGCCTCCGGCAGCAAGTGAGGAAATAGAGGTACGCCGGTACTATAATATTGTAGTAATTTATTAGATTATTGGGTTGTCCAAGCAAGCACTAAATTTCATGAGCGACCTGGGTGAAGAAATGCTCTCCGAGTCAGTCTGACTTCTCTAAGTCAAAGCAAGAAAGCAGTCTGTATACAGTCCTTCTCAAATTCTCGCACGTAGGAACAAATTGAATAATATTTCTGTTGGGCGCTTACAGTCGGGGTTGGGTGCCGCTGCTCTGTACAGCCGCATTCGAAAAGTACTGGCACCCTACTATATTGAGTCGTTCATGAATTGTAGCCCACCAATAACCATGGCACTCGCGTATACTCAACTTATTGACAGGTATGACCGCAATAGAGACATTGCAGCTCTCTCTGATAACAGTCTCGAATATTAGAATTGCAAAAGTAGAAAGGACTACCTCGTGAGTTTAGCCCGGAGGTGCCAAAACTTTTCGAATGCGGCTGTACACTGACCCTCCTTGCTCGCCCAACCTTGTAGTATGTACCGGGTGTTGAGGGTAAATACGAAGAATCTGATAAGAGAATCTCGCTGTAAAATAGGTGTGTTTATCTTATCAGATTCTCGGTATTTATGGTTAACCCCGGTATATGTAGTTGACAAAAGCCAGTTTCCCTTTCCTGAAAGTTGATATATATAAAACTATAGCTGCAGTTCTGTCAGTGTTTGTTCTTTTATATCCGTATATAGCTATGTCTTGTTAATGCCAGTTCCCTTCCTACATGTAGTTCTTTGTCTCATCTCGGCCAATAAATGAATATTCCTGGTGACGGTGAACAATTGAGACTATTATTTATGTACTAACTACATGTAACAATTATCACGTGATATATGCAGATCATGCGGCTCAAATGCATGCTAATTTTCTCTTTCACACAACGGCTCTATCCATCGACATTCTTACACAGCTACCCCAAAGAAGATCGAAAAGATGGTCCAAGAGGTAATAAAATGGTTTTTCCCACGTTTCAAGACTTACTCACACATAGTTGTGACAGGTAATGCGTCTCCCGCCTCTGCGGAATCTCCGCGTCACCAACCCCAACCAGGCTTCAAAGAATCCGTGCATCGGTGTGATGGCGACACTGTTAAGTTGCTGGGCCTCTCAAGGATATGCTGTGGAGGGGTGTGGAAAGATTGAAGAGCAGTTGAGAAGCTGCATGGATGCTAAGGTGGATGACTTTCCTAGCACCCCAAATCTGTGGGAGAGCGTGGGCTGACTGGACCATGTACGGTGAAACAGAAAGGACCTCCGATGAAGAAGAACAACATCAATTATCACTTGGGACGGCTATACCCTATGATAAAACCCCCGCACAAAAAATGGAAAGGTTACCAATAGAGAAAGTATCATGGATGGCGAGGCAGAAGGCTTCATTCTTGTATGATACGAAGGGTTTTACGGGAATATAGAAGGGAAATAAACTTGATATTTCCTTTTAAAAGGTTTATTGTCCGGTTTTGGAAAATGTCAACAAAGTTTTTAGGTTTCGGCAAGCTCAGATCAACAACTGAGGTGCCGAGATTGAGGATTACTAGGCTTTCTGAAAGATAGTTTCAATATTTATCTCGTTAACTTTTAAAAATAAGCACCTACTCGCGCTGCCGGGTTGAAGCGGCACAGACGGCAAAAAGGTGAGCTCTTATTGGCTTTCAAATCACTCGCCGTGGTTCTTTGGGCGGTTTCAATAGGAAGTAGCATATAGTTTAGCTATTTTCGCCGGATGCAAACTGTGTTCAAAAGCTTTCAGAAATACCACCTCGATGTATCTTTTTAATCGTCCCGCTAATCACCCAAATAGTGCAAAAACTAATGTAAATATAACAAAATACCGAATTCGAGGTAAAAAGAGCTCTCGGCGGCCTGAAAAGCTTCTGAATGGTCAGAAATACAGTGAGCCGCAAAGAACCCCGTACCACGCCTTGAAAACAGCAGAATTTGTAATAGAAAGAGCAGAGCCCTCGTTTAATTGTATGTAGAGTACAATACATCTCGGCGATCTACACCCGCACAGACAAGATCGAGCTTGTCACAGAGATCGTGGGGTCCCCACGGATATGCCCCACACTTTGCTTGGTTTTACGTGATGACGTAGATAGCGCTAAGCGCAGAAGGTCATCTTATTTAAAAAGGCGGTCAATCCTCGAACTTAGGGATCCTTTCTATCGCTCATACCGTTACGAATACGGCGACTCCAACTCCAATCAAACTTAACATAAATCCCCTACCTCACAATGTCTCAAGAAAGCGCAAGCCCTCCCGTTGTAGGATCTTATACACAAGGGGATGGATACAACACACAAGCAGACTCATACAAATCACTGGATGAGAACGCGAACCCTCTTCGTAGGGTTTCTACCGCATCATCTGTTGATGATTCTCCTCGTCAGGAGGCACAGGGGAAGAAGAAACGACTGGTATGCTGTATTAAATCCTTCCCTTGGCTAGTTAAATATTATTAAAATCTCTAACATGTTCGTTGTTGCATTCAGTCATTTGGAGGGGGTAATGATGGTCGAGGAGGTCCAATGTTCAAGAACCTTGAAACCATAAGAGGGCACCACGCATCTGAGGGTTACAATGATCAAAAGCCGATGGATGGTTTCATTGGTGCTGCTTTCAAACGATTCGTCTCTCCCAAGCACTCAAGTACCGTTGCGGGTGGCAAAGTGTAACGCATATGACTGCTTTCTATCAAGGCATTTAATTTTCCTCTATGTTTAGTTAGGAAACATTCAAGCTTCTCTATGAGTGATGTGGAATGACATGTAAAATTGAAATTGAATTGTGGTTTTTCTCTTTAAAATCGCTGACAGTGCATACCCTCAATGCGTGGTAATTTACCTAACAAGTTAAGCAGAGTAAATGACTGTATTTAGATATCGATATTTTCAGCGGCTACAGCGACTCGTCATCAATAGCCCTAAGCCTTTACAACTCAATACACAAATCCACTTTCTGATCTGGTGCTCTGGATATCGTACAAACCTAGCGCTTGCCTTGCCATATAGGGTAATGATATACAGTACAATCTCCTTATAAGGGTTCGGGTTAAAGGGGTATTCGCCTTATAGGGGTGGAGGTTTCCGGTCCCAAATAATTTGTATGTAATCTTAAGGGTAAATGACTGATTATTTGTTATAAGAGTACCCTTAAGACTTTGGAACTTTTTTTGGTGCGTTACCCTACAGAAAGAGCAGGGTTAGGGGTTTTTGATTGAAATTTTCAATTTTCGAGTGGTCCAACAAGCAGTTTCTACTGTGAACGCACCTCGTATCGAACTTAAACCCTTACCCTCAATTCCTTATAAGGGTTTACGCTCTATAAGGGTATGACCTCGCGACTTTTTTGTACCCCTACAAGGAGATTGTACTATAGTTGGGATTTCAACAAGAAACTCAACTTTTGGCAGAAATTTGCCAAGGTTGCAGAGCACCAGGTTCTGAGCATGTTTCGGCCCACCAGGCGATACAGTTCCAATTTCTCGGACTATCTGAGGTCTCCGAAAAAAGAAAAGAAAAGGACTCCTATAGGTGGATTATCTACAGTGCTCGAGAAAAGTGGTCATGTATTATCACTCGACGTTTATTTATTTTAGGCTCCGTCTGGAAGCCACCCAAATCATGGTTGCAACGCCCCAGCTCACAATCCAGGACACGATTGGGATTTGACTTTGGATACCTACATGATTTGGTAAATTCTACTTTTTCTCTAATTAGAGGCTTTTAGTCGGTTGCAACTTTCATTATTTACACATACAAAAATGCGCCAAGATGCACCCATATATGATAAATTTGTATGTGCAAATAATGAAAGTTGCAACCGACTAAAAGCCTCTATTGCAATCTATGATATTATTACATATATCTACAGTCGCACCTTGCTATCTCGTAATTCGATATCTCGGATCTCTTGCTGTCTCGTACGGATTTGCGGGACAGGTACTGCCCTTCTCCACAACGAGGTGCGACTGTATTGTACGTTGCAACGGCATACCCCACTAAAATCCACACCACAACCATCCACCAAGATCACCAAACCACAATCTGGTCTGATACCAATTTGTACCACCCAAAATACAATTGGTGGGGGTTGCGATTGCAACACTGCCATTCTTCCAGACAGAGCCTTAAATGTTTTAAGGATGTAAATACATACCTACTGCCCAGTCAGAACCTACGGTACTGTATATCATTAGCGAACAACTTGGTGACTGTCCAGAGTGTGATTAGTCATATATCACGATCCCAATTGTAGAGTAGAAAAGAAAAGAAGAAAGCCACAATTTTGCATATCCATGGAGATCTGGCAGAGAGGGGCAAATCAGATGTGTTGAGATGATATGATCCATTGACCTAAAGAAAGAAATAAGCGGCTATGCGATGTTGAGAATCGGACGGTTTTATGTCTTAGTCTTGGCCTTAAGATCTTGCAGCGCCAGAGATGATTGGGTCGAGACGAGTCATGAGAGAAACTGAGGTGTGTAAGGTACTCTACTCTACATACAGAAGAGGTGTGAAGAGGAAGGGTACAGGAATATCATTTGTAAGATAAATGCCATGTAAGAAACTGCGATCCAATCCTCCACAGTAACGTAGAGTAGGTACTGTGTGCGTATTCTGCCTGGACCGATAGATCTGTCCCGCCATTGGACTACAGTCTGAATATATCGGTCACGTAGTGAAAACACTTTTGGGTCGAGTAGAGCACCTACGTGCTGTGCCTACTCTATGTAGGTAGAGTACATGGTATTGTGTTGGTATCCGAGCCTTCCCGGTAGAGCTTTGATTTCACATGTAAATCGACTGCGCCCAAATAGGTAGGTGTGCTGTCGCACCCCGCAACGCAAGGTGCAGAACTATTAAAATTTAACACGTGATCCTACATAAATATGCCGTGGTAAGCTTTGAGGCCCACCCAGCACCCAGCACCCAGCACCCAGCACCCAGCAGGGCCAGCACCCACTCAACCCATCTTGCCCCGGATGTCATCATCCATCGTTTGGACGACTACAACCACTCCCCATCTCACTCGGAATTCATAGTATCTATGGCGGATTTCGAGGCATCAAACAGGACGCCTTTATCTCACAGTAGGCGTCATTCGAGAAGGTCAACAGGAAACATCAATTTCAGTCATTTGTCGTTATCACCACTCACATCGGCCTCCATAACAGAGCGGGATTTCAAGAAAAAAAGTGAAACGAGAAGGCCTGGTTCTTATATTCAGGGACTTTCGGTTGGTTTCCCCCATGTATAATCTATTTCTTGAATTAGACCCTTCTTTTCGGCATAAAGAGAGGAGCCACAGCCTTGCCAACCTGTTCTAAACAAGCATCTCTATGTACATGTGATCTTCAGCAGACTCGGGCAAATCATTTACATAATTTTGTAATCTTATAGGCACCAACGACTCCCGGAATTCTCTCTAGAAACCAGTCCTTCACCTCGCAACGTAGTTTCCACACCGAACTTCCCAAATCCAAATCATCCTCCCATCTAACGAGTTCACATTCTACATCTAATCAGTGGCTGCAGAGGACTGGTGCAGCGCTCACGTCTGAAACACGCGAAAGCAAAGGTCAGAGTTGGTTAACTAGCCGTGCTAGTTCAACCAGCCTTGTCAGGGAAGGGGAAGACGACGATGGTAGCATATACTATGGTGCCGATGACGAGTTCTCGCCTCTCTCACCAAGGCGCCGGCTGTCGAGGAATTTTAGCGGCGAATTCTATACGAATGGATTGGAGGCACTTGAGGAAGGCTTTAGTCCAACACGGGGAGATAATTGCCATGAAGGAGAGGAAGAGGAATGGAAGAATCGGATGGAGGACGAAGGGAAGGAATATGTTGATATTCCCAGAGGGTTTGGAGTTGGACAATTTGTGGATCGACTGATTGGGTGGTCGGTATTTGCTGACGATGATACCGATTCCGACGAATCTTTGGATGGATATGAAGAGGAACGTGTGTGTGTAAAGGGTAAAAAAGAACGGGGGAGAGTTGAGACGCCCGGTGATCGGAGCGTGCGAGAGCAGCAACGGCGACTGAGGGATGAAGGTGAAGGATGGCAGGATCCCGGGTGGGTTTTTGATATTGTGTCACAGATTTTTCTTTGACAAGCTTGAGAGTGTAGTAAGTCTTTTCTGTTAATTTACTGTAATGTAAGAGCCGGCTCAAGTATCTAGATGGTTGAAACGCTATCGCCATTAGGAATTAGTTTGAAAAAACAGTCTTTACAACACACATTGGATAAGGCCTGGATCGCCTTATAACGATGTGGCTGGCACCGCACATGATATACATGTAGGTATCTGATTGTCTAAGGAGCATGTGAATCTTACTTCACTCGACTGGTAGGGGTGGGTCCGGAGAGTCTAGATTACAAATTTGATGCAGCTTAGTGTGTGTTTTATACAGTGAGAATGTACATGATAATGTTCACAAGGCATAACGACGTCCACGCCAGTTCATCATAGCACAAGCAATAGGTGGGATTGTATAACCCAAATAATGAGAACGAGACGGAAAGAAAAAGAAGAAGGAAAGGATATATGAGATACACCGAATAGGAAAGCAAGAGAATAAGAAATTCCGGTTATGAAAGAGAGTAAATATAGAAAACGGTAACTGAAAGTCATAAACAACCCAGAGGCAATACCCACGAGAAACAATTGGAGGCGAGAAAAGAAGAGAAGAAAAGCGAAGAGAGAAGAGAGAGAACAAGAGCGAGAGAGAAAGAAAGCAAGGGATAATTATTCAGAAAAACCGCCCCAATCAGCGAAATGATGTCTACCAACTACGGACAGGGACTTGAACACCCGCAGAATGCATATTGAAGTTCCGTCCGCTGAATTTATTAGTTTCTTTGCCGTAATCATCGTGTCCCACGGCTTGCTTTAGATGTACCAGAGCAGATTGCATCCTCCCTTGCGACTGCTCGACGTGCTTAGCAAGCTTTGCTCCCCAACCACCATATTCTAATTGGATTCCAGCTCCACGCTTAGCTGCTTCTTGTACTACCAACACCCACGCCTTTGTAATCTCTTCGTAGGCCATATTTTTCGAATGATTGTGAAGCGGATTGTCCCAGTTGGGTAGGCGGTGAATGATGTGGGTTGCTTCATCCAAAAACGTCAAGCTTGTAGCGGCTTGTGACTCATTTGGAGGGAGAAAGTGAGGAGTGTAGTCGGAAAGTGCGTCGAGAAGCTCATTAAGTGCAGGTCGGACACGATTGAACGCATAATCTGCTCCGGAGTTGCCACCATAAGGAAAGGCTAACCGCATTGTGCTTTCGTAATTACTCAAAGTCGATAGAGCTGAGTTTACCGTAGGCCGTGGAGCCAATGATAAAACCTCTGTGGTAAGCCCTGGGTGTCGATCACAAATGGTTTGTAGCATCGATTTTAAGGTGTGGGAGTCGACCGTTTCAAGCAGGCGGGTGAGTGGTAGAGGTCGACCGGTAACGTCGCTGCGTTGGCGCTTACTGATCATGCGCTGAGAGGTGCCGGGCGAACGAGGGAGATTATCTTCTGAATAACGGTTGTCGTCGTGCATACCGGACCGTCCATCATCCTGCTCATCTGCCTTTCTTTTTTTAACCCCTTGAGAGGCTTGACAGAGGATTAGAAAATCTTCAAACCCAAATGCAAGTACAGGATTCAAAAGTAGCAATAGTTTCGAAAGGGAAACGCGGCTTACCAAAACGAAGAGGCGGGGAGTAACGAACATTTGAGGGATGAGAGTTAAAAGACGATGAATCGGGAAGGTTGTTCATTATGGTGCTTGGATAGGAGAATTAATGGATGGATGTTAGGAAATCGGTAGTGATGGAGGCGGGAGTGAGTTTTATTTTTTATTTTGTGATTGTTGTTGGTTGATGTTGTTGATACTACCACTTGGTGGTGGTGGTGGTGGTGGTGGTGGTGGTGGTGAAGGAGAAGGAGGGGAGTTGGATGGATTTGTACGTATGTATGTATGTATGTATGTATGTATGTAGGTAGGTAGGTATGTACGTAGCAGATCCACTATCCAAAGAGAAGGAGGGAAATGGAAAGGGAAAGGGAAAATAAAAGGGAAGACAGAGAGAGTAAGGGGGGGGGGGGGGGGGGGGTAGAGAGAGAGAGAAAGAGAAATGGAGGAATAAAAGGGAAATGAGGGAAGAAGAAGAAGAAGAAGAAGAAGAAGAAGAGTACTAGTACACTACTTACTTGGGCATGTAAGAAAATAGAGGGCGAAAAAGAAGGTGGATGGATTCCACTGGATAGACGGAGTCGATTTGCGTACGGTGCAGATTCCAGTGGCATCCACGTTCAGTGGATGGATCATGGATGGGGTGTGGCGCCTGGCGTGTAAAACGAACGAACGACGACAACAGCGCTGCTTTATCCTTTTTGCCAGATGGAAGGGGAAAAAAAAGATGAAAAGGCGAAATGATCATGAGTGGGCAAGCAGATCGCTTGCAGTGGCTTCCCGCCGCTCAACTGCTAGCTAACCATTAGCTACATGTGTACTCGTATTTTCCTGACGTTTGTGGACGCGACTGATATTGCATGCCATACAAAAATACGCCAAGCTCATGATTTTGGGTGTATGCAATAATGGCCCAGTTCAAAAACGTCAGGAAGATACTAGTACATGTACATACATGTATGTACCTACATGGTACTCAGCTTCTCTAGATCACCTGGATAATCTGCTTTTGAATATGGCTGACGAATTTATCACTTTATAATACCCATATAGAGTACATACCGTTGTTCTAACTTACTCTATGTGCCTACACACATGTACTACATGTACCTAAGGTACAGGTACTCTTAGACAATGTACATGTACCGGGGTTAACCATAAATACCGAGAATCTGATAAGATAAACACACCTATTTCACAGCAAGATTCTCTTATCAGATTCTTCGTATTTACCCTCAACGCCCGGTACATGATGTATTTATCTGAGTCTCTGCCCTATTGCAAATCCACAACTCGAGAATCGGGCCACCGCAGATCCTGTGCAGTTTTCCCGTCACAGCCTCGAACTCTGTGCACGGTCCACTCGTCATCGGGAAGAGCCTCAGCCTCAAAAGTATACTCGCGATTATTTGCCAAGAATTTTCACCTGACCGAGGGATCAAGGCATTTGACCAACCAAAACACCGAAATCCCTCACTTCACCGAGTCAGGTGGAAATTCTTGGCAAATAATCGCGAGTACATTACTACATGTAGACGACTTCCCTAGCCACTCGGACACCCCCCTCACTCGGACAGTCAATGATGATTGGTGGAGAAGAGGTGCGGAAGCCACTTACAACGTTGATCTTCTCTTTTCTACGTTAACTGTCCGAGTGGGGGGCCAGGGAAACCGTCTACATGCCTTTATGTAAACGGTCCCCGCCCCACCTGTTATAACTTAACGACAGCCCCGCTTCTTCACATCCGCAACCAACTAGGCACCTTTAACAAAAACGGAGTATCACTCGTCTCCATTATTTATTTGAAGAATGTCGGCGACTATACTTGGCAACCCTACAAATTCTGATATTCCCGAGAATCAGAACAATGCCAGTAGCAATCATTTAGTCGGCGGAGAAATTCCTCATGAAGTTCTGCGTTCTCTGTATCTCAAAGATGTGACAGCCAACGGTCAAACAGAAGGGCTTGTCGCCTTCACGAGGGCTCAGGAAGACTTCCCAGCTGTCAAACGATTGAACCCATTGAATAAGAAGCGTATCTTGGTAACTGGTGTAAGTACATGTAACAATACAGTTCTCATGTATCTTTGTTTACAACTGGCACAATCCCCTTACCTCGTTTTTATAGCCCCCCCCCCCCCCCCCCCAATAAACCAACTCCAGTGCTTTGTAAGAAATATGTTTCAGGCAGAGCTTATATTTATTTTCGAGGACTTCTGTAGGGCGCCGGCTTTGTTGGATCTCATTTGGTGGATCGCCTGATGCTCATGGGGCACGATGTTATTTGCGTCGACAATTACTTCACCGGTTCGAAGGTGAATATCGTGCATTGGATTGGCCATCCAAATTTTGAAATGATACGGTATGCAAGGAGAAAAACTACTCTCTTCTCATTCAAAGCCGTATAATTGCCCTCTGTTCATTTCCAAATCAAGAGAATAATCCGTTTCTTATCACTTAGGACCTTTAAATTCGACATAGCCATGATGTTGTGGATCCACTTCTCGTTGAGGTTGATCAGATTTATCATTTGGCCTGCCCCGCGAGTCCGGTGCATTATCAGTCGAATTCTGTCAAGACATTGAAGACGAGCTTTTTTGGGACGTATGTTGCCTGGAAATCTAATTTTTATCCAATTGAATTAAGTCAGTCAGCCAGAAAAGGGGGGGGGGGGAAGAGGTATTGATTTATCTTCATTCCTGGGCTTACATTTCCTTTTTTTCTGGGTCTAGATACAACATGCTTGGACTTGCAAAACGTGTGAAGGCGCGTTTCCTTCTTGCCAGTACTTCGGAAATTTATGGTTCGCCTAAAGAGCACCCACAAAATGAAGAGTACTGGGGCCATGTCAACTGTTTTGGTCCGCGCGCCTGCTACGACGAAGGGAAACGCGTGGCAGAGGCTCTTACATACAGCTATGCACGACAGGACGGCGTGGATGTGCGGATTGCCCGCATCTTCAACACCTTCGGTATGTTCCGATTTGTTTTATTTTTCTCTCAATCAAACCCCAGTAGTATGTTCTCGGGGCAAGAAGGAAAGAAATCGAAGATGGATTTTGTCTAAATAAGGATTCTATTGGCCGGGGGCACTGCTACAAAAAGCAGAGGCAAGAGAGAAACATACGGGTTAAGTAGTATAGAACCTGCATACCTAGATTCTTCTTGCTGCGAGTGCATGGATCATGCGTAGATATTCCTAGCAGTGGTTGTTGCTGATTTCTTTGCCTTTACTAACTATTGTAGGTCCACGTATGAATTTCAACGATGGGAGGGTGGTATCTAACTTTATCCTGCAAGCTTTGCGGAGTGAGGATATCACGGTCTATGGGGACGGATCCGCTACAAGATCCTTCCAGTATATGCATGATTTGATAGACGGCCTTATTCAATTGATGGAAAGCGATTGTACAGAACCCGTCAATCTGGGCAATCCACACGAATTTACAATCAAAGAATTTGCGAATATGGTCATTGGTCTTGTCAACGAACAGAGAGACCAACCATCTACATCAAACGTGGTATACCTACCTGCAGTGATTGATGACCCACCGAGGCGGAAACCAGACATATCAAGAGCCAAGGAACGATTAAACTGGCAACCGCGGATCTCGGTGCATGAGGGGTTATCAGAAACAGGTGGGATACCTTCAACTTTAACCCTTAAAATTAAATTCAAGGACTAATAGAGTAAAAACAGTATCCTATTTTAAACGAACAATGGAGCTCCAGATAGCCCCAGTGTTATGAGGTATATTTACTTGATATTAGGCGGAAGTCCTTCTAGCGTTTCTCAAGATTCGCTTTTAGGAGGGAAAAAGATTTGTAACTCCATTTACGCCTTTCAATGAAAGAAGCTATTTAGTAACTATAAATGGAAAGAAACATGCATTGATGATCCGCTGAGAGTTTTTATATTTAAGTTTGACCACAGTGCTTTGCTATGCCACAACCAAGGCACACGACGGTACCATCCCAGCTTCTTTAAGAGTCTGACCAAAGTCGATCCCTTGCTGGTAAATTTTACGAGGAAATGTTGTTGTAATTGAGGATACTTCGATACCTAGATGACGTTAGAAGCTTTCTATAGATAGATCTTCTTTCAGCAAATGGCCATGTGAATGTGTTGTACCTCTTTCTTCCCTTACAGCCTCGGCGACCTCAAATAGGGTAGTATCTACTGGGAAAATTTTTATCAATGGCGGCCCAGAAGGTAAACGAAGCTGAAGGCGTGTCTCTGTGTGAGACGTGACGGTTTTGGGCGCCGCTGGCTTGGTAGGCTCAGGTCGCTGCTCCTCTATAATCTTTCCCTCCCGTGCTGCCTTTTCTCGCTCTGCTTGTTGTCTTCGTAATTCTTGAGTTTCTTTGATTTGTTGCCTAACCCTCTCCTTTGCTGCAGCATCCTCAATCTTCTCCCGCTTGCGTTTCTCAACCTCTTTCAACTGCTCCTTCCTCCTGAGCTCTTCTTTGATTTTATCGGAATCTTGCCCTTTTTTACGGCGAATGAGCTGTAAATGAATTAGTATTATAAGATATGAATAATTACTGGTGTTCATGCCTCATTTTTTTTCTGTTCCTCGCGATCTTTAATAGCCTGCGAAGCCTTTTTTTCTGCTAGCCTGCCAAGAGGTCAGCTACCGTGAATTTGGAACCCCGGTAAAGTTAAGAAACCACTAACCTTTCGCGAAGTTCTTGTAGCTTTGCTGCTTTTTCCTCCTCAGTTAAAGGTTTTATAATCTCGGTGGACTCCTCGAAGTTCTGGTGCTCGCTTGCTTGAGATCAGTAAGACTGCGCCTAAGATGATGGGACTCATGGGCTCTGCAGATCTAAAAGCTTACGTTCTAGTGGCGTGGTACTGTGCACGCTCTGCACTTGAGAAAAGCTTTCCGCAGTCCGAGCATTTCATACTGGCCGCAGTACCGGGGATCTCAGATTTTTCGTCGCCATCATAATCATTCCCATCTTCTGGAGCGGACGAGGACGAGCCAGCTTGTTCGGTTGCAGCTCTGAGTGTCTCCAGTGGTATATCTTGGTTCTGATCAAGCCAAGTCAGAGCATCTTGAACTATTGTACTTTAGTATGGCTCGGGATAGTTTGGAACGAGCCATGCGACTTACGACCCTTGGTCTTTTTGATAGCCAGAGTGGCACGTTCGGCGTCGAATCCCATTTCTAGGAGCAAATCATAATCTCCTTGAACCATGGCTAAGATCGATGCAAGGGACGGAATAAGAAATAAAATAGATGTCGGTTGGTTCCGAAGAGTAAGAAGATATTTGATTAACACCGAGAAACAGCGGTGGGGTAGGAGCTGTAACACTAAAGGCGCGAGGTGGCAGTCGACGTCACCCAAAAGAATGGCGCTGGGTGTGGCTTGGTGGCGTAGCTATACATGGGTGTCTCGTGGCAGTGCAAATGGGCGGACAGCAGTTTTCAGACACGCAGCAAGTTTAAGTTGAACGGCCAGCAGAGACACAAGCAAGCGCAGAGGCCAGAGAACAGAAGACCGAATAGCCATCCATCGCGACACTTGCTCGTGCTGACCTCACACACACTAGTAACTTGACACTGTTCTCTCCCTCACCCAGCAGCTTCTCGCCCCCCCTTAAGCACAAACTCCCACTTTCTACATACAGCCTCCAACCCCCATAACAAGCACTTGTTAGATAACCCACAACCACAACCATAGTAGTTGACCGCAAGTACCACAGTATCCACAACTACACTCGTCCACAACACCAGCACCACCACAATACCTCCCTACGTATCTGCTACGGCTACTGCTGCCTATAACCTTTAGATATTTTCTCCCGTCAGAACAACCTAGTTTCAACTAAGCCCCTAGTGCCCTCAGAACCGACCTCGTTCTCTCCACTTATTACTTTTAATCATCGAAGAGTCGCCAAATATGAGCATCGAACTTGATCCTGCCGAGTTAGGATTCGAACGTATGGCACCTCCCCATCTATTTGATGTCTTCGCGGGTAAAAGCGACAGCAAAGGAAGAGGGGGGGGGGGGGGGGGAAGCACCCGACAGCTGCTGATAACTTTCGCTTTGGAACTAGGTCCTTTCAATCACGAGGTAACTCGAACACTTCGCATCAAAAACAACAACTATGATCCTGTTGCCTTCAAGGTTTGTTAATATTCGGGCTGTACTCTTTTGTGAAGTTGTTATTAACTAGAGTGTCAATCAGGTGAAAACAACCGCCCCTAAGCAGTGAGTGCACACGAGTCAAAGATTTCCGACATGGGGTTTTGAGTAAAAGTTGCTGAGTAATTGTTCAGGTACTGTGTGAGGCCAAACTCCGGCCGTATAGAAGCTGGAAAGGATGTCGAGGTTCAAGGTATTAGGATTAAGCTCCAACCTATGACAGTAAAATCTAAATATACTAACAACAAGCCTAGTCCTCCTCCAGGCGATGAAGGAGGATCCGCCACAAGGTTACAAGTGTCGTGATAAATTCCTTGTTCAGTCTGTTGCCATCACCGCAGACAAGGAGTACAACAGTGTCCAGCAGATTGTGAGATTCCCATGGTCTATAGCCACGGTCGACTCTTTGTTCCTAACTTGATAATCAGTGGGCGCTTGTGGAAAAGAACGAAAAATCCGCCATTCAAGAGAAGAAGATCCGTGTCACGTTTCTTGATCCTGATGAAAAGGCAAATGCGCCTAATGGGGAAATAGTCCAAGACATCTTGGTAAGTTGAGCTATGCGGCTTTGGCCCTACATCGCCCGGAAAGTATCAGTTGGCTCACAAAACTGGCAGTTCAATGATACCCAGTCCCGCTCATCTCCTCCTCCATATACCTCCCCCACGCCATCGGATGAACCAGCGACCTCCGGTACCCTACCTGCGCCGGCTATTAAATCCGAACCCAAATCGGATGGGCACTCATCTACTGGGGACGCTATTCGAGGTGTCGCCAATACCCAGTATGGCTCCCCTAGTTCGGGGAGTAGTAGCCATGACTTGGCATCTCAACTGGCTGAAGCGAAGGCCACTATTACTAGATTACAAGAGCAGGTCAAACAGCACCAACAGGGTCTTCGAGAGCGCAAGACCGCAGCTGTCGCTTCAGACTCTAAGTCGCATACCGCTGAAGGTGCCACTGGCATGGGTTTGACCACTCACCCACCGGAAGGTGTATCCGTCCAAATTTGTGCTGCCCTGTGTTTAGTAACCTTTTTGCTGGCGTATCTATTCTTTTGATTGCGATGTTATCTTTGGTTAGTCCAAAAACCACATTCTCTTAAAAGATTTCATTTGTTTACCTCCCAATGAGGTGTAACGTGCGGGATATTTGGTTTTGTTCTGATGGTGATTTTTCCATTGTTTTTGCCGGTATTCTTTTTTTTCTTTCCCATATCGTTGTACTCTACAAGATCGACAAAGGCCTCCCACCCTATATATGCATCTTCGCCTCGTCTGTGGTACTAAGCTTTCTATCAGTCAATATCACCCTGAAGGGAATCTTTCAGTCTGCTTAGCTTTGCTTTTTATTTTCTTTTGCACTTTTCGCCACATCTTTATTATTATTCAAGCGCTGAACACTCTGGTATCTTTTCTCTCAAAATGGGATATTTCGATTTGATGGTAAACTTTTTTCCTTGGGGTTGGTATTGTTTAATTTTGCCGTAAAGAGAAGGGAGGAAAGAAGGCGGTATAAATAAATTGGAACATATCACCATGCATATTTAAACTACGGTGATGAGTCGTATTAGTGCCCCTCTAATTGCCCCACTTCTCAGTTGGGATAAAGCCGCCCCGAGTTCCTGACCACAATTCAATAAACCCGTCAAAACCCTCTCAAACTACCCTCCAGATCACAAACATTTCCGTTTCGCAAAATGCGGGCACCAGCGACTGAGCGTCCCCTCACATCCGGCCCCGAAGAGGGCCCGTCATCACCTTTTCCGCTCCGCCTTTCGGGGCCGGTCATCAAGGGTTTTGGGCGGGGCTCCAAAGAATTGCAAATACCTACTGCCAATATCCCCATCGAAGGCCTCAAAGTCGGTGGATGCGAAACAATCGAAAGCGGCGTTTACTACGGTTTCGCAGGACTTGACCTGCACAACGCTGACACTGGGTCGAAGGGAGTTGTCTTCCCAATGGTAATGTCGATCGGTTGGAATCCATTCTATAAAAATACCGTTCGATCAGTCGAAGTACATATTGTACACTCCTTCCCTGAGGACTTTTACGGCGTGCGCATGAATCTGGTCATTTTGGGGTTTATCAGGCCAGAATATGATTATGTGAGCAAGGAGGCTTTGATTGAAGACATTAAGATGGATATCAAAGTCGGCATCAACAGCCTCGAGCGCGATGCTTATAAAGTATTTCAAGAAGACAAGTACTTAAGACATTTCAGCATTGAAGAGTAAGACGATGGTAGTTACAGGGAGAGGGAGGGGAGGGCGGGGTCTAGCTTTTGTATTGGTATATGGCCATCTCATACACTGGTCATTTCTTTGTTCAACAAGCAATCCTGAGCCTACTAGATGATTGTCTACCTGAAAATGTCATCATTCTTTAAACAAATACACATAAATCCCACTACAAACTCTATTAAACACAAAAAGCGTGTTACCAAATTACACATCTATATGATCCTTACACCTTCTTTTTATCACCTGTAGTATCGGCCTCACCTTCCAGCTCTTCTTTCGTCCAATCTGCCTCAACTTTTTTCCCGCTTTTCAATTGTTGTTCTCTCTTGACTCTTGACCAGAGGGAAACGTCGTTATCCCAAATAAATTGCCAAATCACCCATGACCAACTGGTGTGGGTAGGAAGGGGCTCGTAGAATTCGCTGGCGATTTCACGTAGCTTTGGGAGCCGAGTCCATGGAATGGCAGGAAAATCGTGGTGCTCGTTGTGTAAACCAACATTGTAAGTGAAAAAGTTCAAACAGCCATAATAGGAGTAAGTTTCAACTGGCACTGCCTCCCCGGAAACAGCGTTTTTGGGAGATGGGTTGACAGGTTTCTCGAAGACATACTAAACAGGTTTGTAATGTAAGTTTGATTCAAAATCTTACCCTTCTTTCCAAGAGAATTAGGTGTTTTAGGTAGCAAATAAGAAAAACCCACATGTTCAGCAATAAAATGACCCGCGCAGGGGTGCAGGCTCCCTGCCAGGAAACTGCTCATTATCAGGTAGGCAAGAGAATTCCAGCCACAGGACCAAACCAGGATGGCATCAAACCCGAGTTGTACAACAAGGTTAAGAAAATGCAATCCCGTGAATGGCAATGTTAGGACCATCATTGGTCTAAGGGCGTAAAATAGGATCTGAAAGGTGCAAAAAAAGGCCTTTCCTAAAACCGAGTCAAGGAAGATGGCTTCAAATTTGGTGGGGAGGTCAGTATCGAGGCCATCAACACCGAGAGCTTTGTGATGGGTCAAATGGTACGGCCGGAAAGCAGCGCTGTAAGGGAGACCAATTGGCAAGTTTGCAAATATGGCGAATAAACGATTTGCATATGCGCTCCTGAAAGCAAGGTTATGGGAAATTTCATGAATCGCCAGAAAGGTGTTTTGGTTTGCTGTCGCCCCCACGATGTATGCGGTGAGGAAGAAAGGCCAGGAGAAGATAGGGGTTGATCGTAGAAGGTATGCACATCCAATTTGCAAAGATGTGACTCCAAGTACCACATACTTGGTGAGAGGTTCAGGTCCGCATAGCTTAGTAACCTAGTAAGAATTGAATTGGTTAGTGAACGATCTCAATGTTCTTTCGTTTAGTACTTGACTGCCCAGTAACATACCTCTGGGTGGGCCTTGATAATCTGGTGTCTACGAGTTCTATGAGGTTCCTCTTGATATGTCTGTATCTTTGGTTAGTTTTTCTTCGCTTGTGTGGTTTTTTGTTGGGTGAATTACCCAAATCCAGTCGTTTAAGGAATCCTTCGAAGCATCATTTGGGCCAATGGTGGTGGTTTCGACGACTAAAGCCATGATGGGAATGAGTGAATAGTCCTTGACGGTAAGGAGTGGAGAGCGAGAAGACCCTCTAAATACTCAGGCGAAAGACAAAAAGAGAGACAGGGGGGAAGGAGGGAGGAAGCTGCAAAGCACAATCGTAGCTATTACCAGGTAATAAGGAGTGTGGTGCTTCCTCAACTGATTTCTCGTTCCAGTCTGTGTCTAAGTATGCTAACCACATGTGTACACCATTTTGATTGTTCCACAAGCAGCATGTTCCAAGCGACCCCTGACAGAGAATCGCTTATCGCCAAGATTTGGGCTCGAGGTACCATAGTTGCGCAATGCACAAGCAGATATGGGAACCGGCAACTGGTCCTCCCCACCATATAGTGTGAGGCTCCTCTGTCACTGTCAATCATATCTCTACCATCACCGCCCATCAAGTATTTTCGTTATCATTTCATCAACACCATCCTTACCTGTATAATATTCGACTCTAACAGCTACTGTTACCGTTTCGACCTCCCCGAACTCGAACGCACCTAAGCACCTTGATCTCATTAAACGTCCTCATCTAAATCCTAAAATGGCTTCCGACCCGGAAAGAGAGAAAGCACTTAGTGACTTCAAAATAAAGGTTTTTTTTTAGGAGAACATTTCTTTTTAAGGATTTGACTAACTGGCTTGTCCTGTATAAAGCTATTGGAACATAGGGAGTGGGATGCGAAACTTAAGAACCTACGAATAGAGCTCAAGGATTTAGGAAAGGAATTCGATCATACAGAAGATAACATCAAGGCTTTACAAAGTGTGGGACAGATAATCGGAGAGGTTCTAAAACAACTTGACGATGAGAGATGTGCGTTAGACCCCTCCAACTAGCAATATGATGGCACTCTAAGCCTCTGATCATTCTGAAGCTAACACTCAAATAGTTATCGTAAAGGGTGATATTCCATCATATTCATCAAGAGAGAATGAAGACGCTGATAATAATAAATTGAACAGCCTCTTCCGGTCCTCGCTATGTTGTTGGTTGCCGCTCAAAAGTAGACAAGACAAAACTTAAGCAAGGAGTCCGGGTAGCTCTTGATATGACCACTTTGACCATTATGCGAATGCTACCTCGGGAGGTTGATCCCCTGGTTTATAACATGTCTCTCGAGGACCCAGGGCAGGTGTCGTTTGGTGGTATCGGAGGTCTTAACGAACAAATCCGAGAGTTGAGAGAGGTCATTGAGCTACCCTTAAAAAATCCTGAATTATTTTTAAGAGTTGGCATCAAACCTCCAAAGGGTGTTTTGCTATATGGCCCCCCAGGTACAGGGAAGACACTATTGGCAAGAGCTGTGGCAAGTAGCTTAGAGACCAATTTCTTGAAAGGTACGAGTAATATCAATGAGCATTATCTCAAAACAGCCCATACTAATCTCGTTGATTTAGTCGTCTCATCCGCAATCGTAGACAAGTACATCGGGGAGTCTGCTCGACTTATCCGTGAGATGTTTGGGTATGCCAAGGAGCATGAACCATGTATCATTTTCATGGACGAAATCGATGCTATCGGCGGCCGTAGGTTCAGTGAGGGTACATCAGCGGATCGTGAAATTCAAAGGACACTCATGGAGCTACTCAATCAACTCGACGGCTTCGACTACCTAGGGAAAACAAAAATTATCATGGCAACCAACAGACCTGATACACTCGATCCGGCGCTGCTTAGAGCTGGTCGATTGGACCGTAAAATCGAAATTCCACTTCCGAATGAGGTTGGGAGGATGGAGATTCTAAAGATTCATGCGGCGGGTGTGCAAAAGGATGGAGAAATTGATTACGAGAGTATCGTCAAGATGAGCGACCAGCTCAACGGGGCTGATTTGAGAAATGTCATTACCGAAGCCGGTTTCTTTGCTATTCGTGACGATCGTGATGCCATTAACCAGGATGATATGTCGAAAGCTGTTCGAAAAGTAGCAGAAGCGAAGAAGTTAGAGGGTAAACTAGGTTAGTACTCCACCTCATAATCTATTATTCGGATCTCCAGGCTTACTGACTTTCTATGCAGAGTATCAGAAGCTATAGTGGAATGGAATGGTTCAAGATGTAATGGATCGGCGTTTTATCATTTCTGCGTGCTTCTGTTTTCTTGTATACTCAAAATAAAGTTCGCAGACACAAGAAATCAGTCACTTTTGAAATTTATCCTACTACCGCCAAAACTCGCAAAATTGGCTATCTCCGTCCATTGATTACCAGTCGAGTGATTGGTTGAACTGCACCAATCTGCATCAGAAGTTTCCATAGAAGTAATTTTGATCTAGCCAATTTTTCGAGTTATGGCGGTAATGTATCTTCAAAACTTTAAATAGCCCTAAGTAAAACACCAGGATTTCCAGATTGTTGAACCTATCCTGTTTTGCCAATTTCATGTAGGTTCTGGGTATTGCCGAAAGTTGCTGGGATTCTACTTGCCAAGATCTCCGAAGCTTAAATTATCCGTTCTTGGTATATGAGGCTCTGCTCTTCAACGTCTGGCTTCATCCTACAAATTCCGGCATCCCAAAGAACGGCTTCTTGAACATCAACCATGGTATCTCCTCTTTCAATCTCTCCACAGTCCTTTAATAACCAATTTTAATGTTTGCTTATAGTCTCGCCACGAACTCCTCTCCCCCGAAGGACTCCGCATAGATGGCCGACGCTGGAATGAGCTCCGACGTTTTGAAGCACGTCTGTCAACCACCACAGCCGCCGATGGATCATCCTACGTCGAGTGGGGTAATACAAAAATTATTTGTAATGTAGGCGGACCAAATGAGCCTAAGACTGGGGCGAACAGGAATCAGGATAGGGCTACAGTCACAGTAGAAGTCTGTTTTGCTGCGTTCAGTGGGAACGAGAGAAAGAAAAGAGCCAAAGGTGACCGGTGAGACCTTTCTTATCATAGTTCTTTTCAATGCGCCGCCATATCCAAGTACAAGCCTCATGGCTGATCTGAAAACAATCATGTGCAGACGAGTACAGGAGATGCAGACCGCTTTGCAGAGAACGTTTGCAGAAGCGATTCTAACAAACCTTCACCCGAGATCCGAGATCTTAATTACTCTCCACATACTATCCCAGGACGGCTCTGTCCTCGCCACGTGCATCAATGCTTGCACACTTGCCCTGATCGATGCTGGCATTCCAATGAGTGACTATGTAGTGGCGTGCACAGCTGGCTCCCATTCAGTTCGCAGTGGCACCAACGTTGAAGTAGAAGGAGAAGATCCACTATTGGATATGAATAACATCGAGGAAAGCGATCTTCCAGGAGTTACGATTGCGACAATCGGAAACTCGGAGAAAATCACCTTGTTGCAACTCGAGACGAAGGTTAGGCTGGAAAGACTGGAGGGTATGATGGCTGTTGCGCTGGATGGATGCGGGAAACTGAAGGAGGTTATGGATGATATTGTCAGAACCCATGGTAATGAGATGGCAAGGAGAGGGGCACTATAGGCCAATTATACTACTGAAGAAGTCCACTTGGAAACTATCGACAAAACGCCTCTCCCTCCAACAAATAATAATATTAGCTGGGCTACTATCAAACAAAATAATTAGCCTTGATGTTGAGTTGGGTAACGATGTTAAACAGCAGTTTGACTATCTGGTGGTATTATTGCTGGGGCAACATAAAATTTGCTCGTACCATGTCAATCTTGCGGTATCTAGTTATAAGATAAAAAAAAAAAAATACATAACAGCTGGCGGTGATATTGCAGTCTCTTCCAGACAAGGTTTGTTGGAGATAATTACTCACGGTGGAGACACTAACTGCGTGTATCATGATATCGTTAATCGCTTAAACTACTCGCGCGTTTAATGGTCGGAATGTTTAGTTGCAACGATATCCTACTATTTACGGAACGCACGAGTACTGTTTTCAAAAAAAAAAAAAAGGACGGGGTTTATCCAAAATTACGGAACAAGTGAGGCGCCACACACCAATGATCCCACGCCCAATCCGGTGAGACAAGAAAAAGGCAACAAGAAATATTTTCAGGTCAATCATAGGTTTGTAGAAGCCGCCCATCTGTGTGGGCCGATGACTTCTTTCTGAGAATTCGCGGCGCTCGTTGAACGGTGCCCCATTTCTCCAAGATGGTATTGGGTGGAGAGGGCAACTAACATGTGTGTTTTGTAGAACATCATCCCTAGAGTATCTAGGTTTTCAAAAATGCCATTTGAAGGTCATGGAATATCACTCGCCTTGTGTGAGGTTACGGAAGGTACTAAAGCATATCCTATTCCATCAAGAGCGCTTGGTTGATAACTGATTCGTGAAGTTCCGTCGGGAGCATTGGAACACAAACCTTTTTTTTACCACCTAAAGGATTTATAGTGGAGATTTACCCGAAGAGGTATCATTTTCTTTAACTTACCAATTGCATTCATCAAAAATGAAAAGTAGGGATTCCTAAACATAAAAGAATTGCATAAGAATGCCTTCTATTGGTAACAGATGGTGTATAAAGCTGCACCATCTAAATAAAAATTCACAGGTTCAACTACATACTCCTATTAAACTATGTGTCGAATGGGAAATGAATTTATTTTGTGAACTATTTCTCGTCATATTTGGCAACATGAATGTCGATGGCCCTATTTTAACAGCAAAATTAGTACCACGCGTACAAACGCAAGTAACCTTAACTTCAAGAAATACTAACCTTCCGCTGGGATCTGTCTGGTTGGACCAGGTAGGCTTCCATCTCATGACAGTGGGCGCACACTGTGCTGGGAATTGCTCATCGAACATACACCTGTACCAGTATCCCTCCTTGCTATCAGGAGCATCGGCACCCCACTCAGGTTTGGGGTTCTTTAGCTGTTCATCGGTGACCATTTTCTCCGCAGTATCCTTGAAATATTTCAGTGGAAGTAACTTGTTAAACGTTTGGGAAGAATGAAATCCTTACCTTCAAGACGTCAATCCAGCCATATCCAACACCGTCGCTGAACTGTTCTTTCTGCCGCCATAGAATATCGTCGGGAAGGTAAGGCTTCTGATCTGGCTTATCTGAGGTATCAAATGCCTTCCTGAGAATGTATTTCTCGAGGCGCTCTCCTTTAAGGATAAGCTTGTCTTGGGGGTCGATGTTCATTGTAACTTCTAAGAACTATAGGAATCGATATTAATCGCTACTCCAGCTAAACTTGAGAACAAAATCTCACCTCCTTGTCCAAGAAAGGGACGCGGGCCTCAACGCCCCATGCAGAGGTCGATTTATTGGCCCTCAAGCAGTCCGAAAGGTGCAGGTTGTTGACCCTCGTAATGGTTTCTTTGTGAAATTCTTCCTTGTTCGGTGCGTTGACGAAGTAAAGGTAACCACCAAATATCTCATCACTTCCCTCTCCACTTAGAACCATTTTTACACCCTGAGCCTTGATTTTCCTACTAAGAAGATACATAGGCGTTGATGCACGGATCGTAGTAACATCGAACGTCTCAAGGTGATAAATAACGTCACGGAGAGCATCGAGACCTTCCTGTAAAGTAAAGTTGAACTCATGGTGGACCGTTCCGAGATATGCAGCTACCTTTTTAGCAGCAACCGTATCTGGTGATCCAGGAAGTCCAATAGAAAAGGAGTGTAGCTCTGGCAAGGCAGTAATCGTGTCAAGGTCATCGCCTTCACTGATTCCAACCAGTTCATGTGGTATCACGGTACCGTTAGTAACTCCAGACTTGAGTTTCAGTTTCTCAGTTTCCCGAGCAGCAATTGAAGCAATCAAACTGGAGTCAAGGCCCCCAGATAAGAGAACCCCATAAGGAACTTCCGCCATAAGCCTCTTACGCACCGCCTTTTCCAAAGTAGTTCTAACTTTCTCGAAATCGACCGGATTCGACGGGATTTTTGTGGAGTCTAGCCATGAAGGCTGAAAGTACCTAGTGGTCTTTCCAGTGGCTGAATCATAAATATGGCCTGGGGGAAAAGAAATGATATTGTCGCAGACAGGGTGGAGACACTTCAATTCGGAAGCGAAGTATACAGCGCCAGGAGTTTTTGATGACCACCCCTGATAGAAACTAGTAATGCCAATGGGGTCGCGTGCGGCAATGGTCCTGTCCTTGACCTTATCGTATAGGACGAAAGAGAACATTCCGTCAAGCATCTTGGGAGTATCGATATCATATTTAGGGTACTTCAAAGCTAGTCAGTAGATACCTGGTTTTCCCTTGGAGCTGATGGTCTTACCAGGTGCAAAATGACTTCACAGTCGGAATGAGTCTTGAACTTTGTGTCGGCATCGAGCTGCTTGCGCAATATTCTGTGGTTGTAAATTTCGCCATTAACCGCCAAAAAAACAGTTTCCTCCTCGTTGACAAGGGGCTGCGCTCCACTATCTGTTGTGACTGTTAAAAAAAAAAAAGCCCCATGATGGAAATTTTTTTGGAACATAGAGTAAATACCAATTCCAACAATACTCAAACGCTCATGCGTCAAAACTGATTTTGGAAAATTAGTTCTTGAAAACTCGGTGAAGAAACGTAATCAGCATTTACTTGTGTCGTTGGAAATGATATTTCCACCTGGCAGATAAGAATTAGAATTTTACGATAAGGAATCCCGGGAAAAGAAGTATCTCACTCCAATCCGGACCGCGATGACGCACGCTGCAAAAGCCTATAAGTATTGAAACCCTTTAGAAGCATCGAATAGAGAGAATACATACGCCTTGGCTAATTGTAAAGCCTGAGGCTTGAATTGGTGCACATTGGGGTGTTTATGACAAGCGAATATTCCTTTGGTTCAACAATTCTGTCAGGCATATACGATCCAATGGTGGGGCAGATGAGGGGTGATTTCTTACCACACATTGTGGAGGGGCAAGGCTATATACTATAGCGAAGCAGAATGCGAAAGGGAAGAGGAGTGTTGTAGAAGGTAAACGGGAGAAGAAGAAGGGAATGATTGATTTATAGATTTAGGTGGTAGGGTAAATAGCAGGAGGGCCAGGGTGGAGTGGAGAAAGGGCAAGGTTTTTTGACTCATAGTCATTGAATAACTGAATAAAAAAGATATGTACCGGTGCTCCCTCTTTCTCCTCTTAACACCACCATTGATTGGTATGAAGCTTCAAGCCTGTGCTCCAAAATCATTCTTCTACTCGCGAATTTTACAAATTGGACTGAATTAGGGTGTGTATCTGGAACATTGCGCAAAAGGAAATAGCATAAAAAAGGAAAAATACACTTGTGGTAAGGACAATTTTCCACCTCATGACCTCAAAATGTCTTGCTACTTGTTCAGCTATATTTTTCGTCCATCACGAGCGATTGAATGATCGGGACTTCCTTTGAACATCCTAGCATGGTAGGTACTTAGGTATAGTATTTACACAAGTGAGGAAGTGAGTATGTATCCAATGGAAGAAATGTCCTCTTCGTTCCTACATAAAATGTACCGTACGCAGTCATGCTTGCATAACATACTCATCGCATCACCATCGCTCGAATGCATCATATTTTTGCAAACTGATATCTAACTAAATATACATGTATCTACATATGTGCCTATCTTTACTAGTGCCCGAGCTTAGTCGTTAATTTGGACAATACCAGTATTGTATCTCCTACAGTTGGGGATTTCTCGACCACTCCTGTAGGTATTTACAATTGCTGAATATAATGAAACCAAGCAAAATCATCGACCGCACTCACCACATATTGCATAGCCGCTCGAGTTTAACTTGGTGGACAGCCATTGGTTCCTACAGGATCTGCTGTAGCCTGTAGGTACATTTAGATGCAATCATGTGGGCTCAGATCGATATCCCGGAACCGCGACAAGAAGATGGGGTACATAACAGGGGTTCTTCTTTCTGCATGTCAAGCTCTTTACGGTTATTGTAATTAATCTAGTTGTGCCAGATGTCATAAATCCTTGATATTTTACCTCACCAATGATACTTCCCCTCTTCTGTGGGGGTGTTTCTACAAACGAATCCGCCAGCGCATGATAATCCTCCTGGAATTGAGTATATTAGCCTCGAATTCATGATCACTAATCCCCCTTATTGTCGAATACCGAATAAGATCCAAGTAAGATCACGTGATATGGGCAAAGAGAGATTGAACTAATTGAAAACTGTATGTAGATATAAGAATTACGTCTCCATTCTGCTATTAACTTCCATCATTTTAGGGCAGTCAATGAATTTGCCTAGATCATTTGCAGTGCCGCAATAGCCAATATTGAAAGAAAGAAAAGAACTCTCTACAACGGCCAGAAACACTGGCAATGATGCCTTTGCAGATTTTTACGAGGACCTTTTTCTACCTCCAGTGTCCGTCCGTTAAATTCGGGACAAAGGACAAACTACCGTTTCTTTGCGACTGGTCTTGGCTTTGCCTCATCTTCCTTAATGGGATGTAACATGACCTTGGTAGGATACTGCGGAGTATTGGACTGATGTCCCTTACTCCAGTCATAGCTGATAGCGTATGCGAATATGTTACCGTTTCTGTTAAAGCCAGTCGCTGGAATGCTCCCATTGACAGATGGGAACCCTTTAAGACGATGTTTGGCATCCTTATCCCTGTACATAATCGTTAGGTGAGATTTGGCGTGTCCGGCAGGATCGACATCTAGAGCAGCGACAGTAAAAAAGAATCATCAAAAATACGTACCAGAAGTGGAAAGTTCCATCTGACCCAGCAGTAGAAAACGTTCCGAAAGTGGGATGAAACGATATGTCATTGACACTGTAGACATTGGCAATTCCTGAAGACGGAGTTTCTCGATGGCATTTGAACGAAAAGTTCATACTAGTTGCAACAAGCAAAAATCAGTCTATTATTCAATCAGGAACATAATGACTGTGATATACTTACTTGGCATTTTTGTCTTCAACGTATTGGATTGCACATCTTCCTTCAATACTTCCAACCGCGAACCCGGTAGCATCAGGGAAGCAACTTACAACCCTCGTCTGCCATTTGAGGGGGCTTTGAATGGTTTTGAAAATTGTGGTGGGACTGGCTAAATTTATGACATTGATATGTCGATCTGCAGTGCCTGTAACTAGCAAGCCTTGGCAGACATCGAGGGTATATACACGTTCTTGCATTTGCACAGTTGCAGCAGGTTGTTGCTGGCGGAGATCCCAATATTTAAGGGTCTTGTCCCAAGATCCGGTGACGAGCATCTCACCCGCGTTCGGGGCCTGAAACATTCGAACACAGCGAACAGGCTCATCATGAGCAGCAACTTGTTGAGACGAGCCGGTCGTAAGGTCGTACATGCGAGCAGCCTTGTCAGCGCCGCCGGAGACCACTTTTGTCCCATCCTGAAGAAAGGTGTTAGTATTGATGATGCCGAGGCGCGCCGGAGTTCAAACCAGGCAGGCTAGCCAACCTTCGACCAGTGAACTGACAAAACGGGGCCTTGATGTTCGTATAGAGCCTTTCCCATCGATTGACCTGTTTCTGATATCTCGTATATGCGAACCTTATTGTCCCAGGAAGCCACAGCAAGATGCTCGGACTGGGGGGAGAACGAGAGATCCGAGATGCTGTCTTCTGGAGGTGAAGTGAGCTCTACATCTTTGCTCAAATCGCCCTGGGTATTGTTGGCGGTAGTGGCAGGAGTCGTGGTCGTGGCAGCTCCGAAAAGCGACATTTTATGACGAGTAGAGAGAACGAGCAGGATTTCACTGGGGCGGGGACTGACGAGGACTGACGATGATATTTATCAGAGAGAATGGAAGGGGTTCATGAAGATCGTAGAGAGCATATAGCGTAAATAAAAGTAGTGAAATTGGAGGTAGCGTTGAGTTACACAGACGTGCTGGAGACCTTTACCGCGTTTTGCGATTCTTTTATGCTGTGCTGTACCGTAGTGGCACGTGAGTAAGCGGAAAATGGTGTAGGTACCTTCCCTTAAAGCGTCAGGCAGAATTGCAATTAGAGGCACCTAACGCGATTTGGTAATTGTTATGAAAGTAACGCTTCAAGTAGTGAAAGCTCTTGGGGTAAATTTTACCTCAGAAATGATTACATAAAATATGATAGATTATTCTATCCTACTTAACACAGCGGGTTGTTCATATCACGATTTCCATATCGCGTTAGGTGACTCTAATTACAATTCGGCCTGACGGCTTAAGATGATAACCAGATCCCTTCGTTTGTCTACTTCAGGGTTAAGCGAGCATAGTCGCTCAGCATTTGCTTAGTTATCCTTGAGTCATCATCGTGCTGAGCAGCTCAAGGTAGAATGTAGAGACTTGACAGTCAAGCAGTAAGTATCCGTTCAACTTCATATGAAGAATATGACCTAACAAAGCATATAATATATATATTTCCCTGTATCAAATAAAGAATTCTGCTGTCTTGACTTTTTTAATTTCATCGATTGCCTTTCGAAATTAAGCGTTAATCTATATGTACTTTGCAGGAGTTACGGCGAAACTGAAGTTAAACTAGGCTACAAGTGCGACCTTGTAGAGTTGGAGTACAGTCAACTCTCCCTATAAGGGTACCCTCTATAAGAATACTCGCCCTATAAGGAGCCCGGTCCGCAGGCTACTTTTTTTAGTATGTAGTGTTAAGGGTAAATGCTTATATTTTCGCTATAAGAATACCCTTAGTATGTTTTCTCATTTTTTGGTATGTTACCCTTATAGAGAGAGTGACTTTTCAGTGGAAGTTGAGACCATTCGCCCTCAAAAAGTGAAAAATGTTCTGCTAACAACATTGAAAGTTGCACCACTAAAAACTAAAAGTTCCATCACCAAAGAATGATGGTTTAGCCGGCAAAGGTCAAGTTCTACGAACTTCCCATTCTACCAAGTTCAGTGTTGCGCGAACCCTTCACCCCCAAAAGTGAACTTTCTACTCTGCCAAACCTAACCCTGAAATATCTATAAGGGTAACTTCTCTATAAGGGTACGCCCTCGCGGTATTTCCGTACCCTTATAGGGAGAGTCGACTGTACCTATGAACCGTGGGCTTCAGGGCAGTACAATAGCGCAGCGCAGTGTTGCACCTTCGCTTAGTAATAACCATTACACGCGACTAGTAGTTGTTCGCGTTCCTTAACGCGTCCCTTCATTCCCTTCCTTGACCTGTTACACTATTTGTATTCACCTAGAAGTACATGTACTCTACAATTAAAACTGATACCGCTACCATCTCCACCGTTACTACATCAAAGACACCCAATCCCCTAAAAAAATGGCCGCTACCGTGGATTTCACTCACGGATCAAACATAATTCTTACGCCAACCACACCTTGTAAAAGCCCCGCCACACCACTCCTATTTACCCCCTCTCGATCTTCACCCTTATCCACACGCCCCCAAAATACTATCAGTGGGATGTTTAATCCCAAGATGCTCCCATCGCCGCCCTCATCCCCGGATTTTCTCGCACCAAAACGGCTCTTTAAGCCGGTACCTATATTCGTCTCCCGCGAGAAAGGACGTGAGACGCGGCGTGATTTGTTTCTGAAGAAAGTCAGAAGAGGGCGCGAGGATAAGATCATGAAATCAAGGGGCGGAGAAGATGAGGTAACCTCTAATAATCTCCTCTGTCCTATCATATTTTGGTTATACACGGGCAATTTTCTGAACCCTTCTCTAATATGTCTTGGCATAGATGATGCGATTGATATTTGTGTCTGAACAGAAGAGGTGGGAAGCGACACAAGCTAGAGCTGCTGCAACGATATCAACAATATACGAGGAGGAGGAGTTTGAAGTTGAGGAGACACAAGATTATGATCTCCCATATCACGCTTCCGGTATAAACCACTATGATAACAAGTTTGGGTCTTATATCTTCGTATTAACTTGAAACTACAGGTATCGATGAGGATGATGATTTCGACCAGCTCATTGAGCGTGAGGGCGAAGAACTCGAGGATATGCTTTCTCAGTTGGATCTAGACTTTGACCATGCCGTTGTTGACGATTCCATTAAAGTGCAGGATCGAGTTAACGTAACATTGTCATCCTCTGTTACTTGAACTCTAATTATAGGAGTGGGTTCGGCATCCTGATATTAACTGTACATTGGGTTTACTTGATATTTTAGAGTATTTGTATTTTTCTTTCTTTTTTTCTCTTTACTTGAGGCGTATGGATAAATGGTCCCGCGGTTCCCTTTGCTTCTTTCTCGTCTATATCTGCATCCATCGGGTTGTTGTAATCACCGAGTAGAACCTGTAGGCTTTTGTGAGATGCGAGGTTTCGAAACCTGCACAACACAACAGTATCCCAAATAAGTTTGTTTCTTGCGCTTTTTTCCCAAAATACAAACATTGAAGCTCATAGTATCGCGCACTGGTTTCTTGATATACGTACGACTTATAATTTACAAACCAACTGTCTTGATTTTGTTTGTTGTGCCCTATAACCATCTTCATGAAATAGTGCAATTCGAATCCATATCTGAGGGAAGATCAAGACCTTGACCCATTTCCCCCATCAGCTCCGTGGGTGGCGCTCCCGCAGCTTGCATCTATAGCCAAATCATTAGATAGAAAGTAAAGGAGGCGAGAGCACAAACCTTCTGCATCCGGTCGATAATATAGTCTCTATCTTTATCATTTTCATCACGATATGCCGGTTCCTCAAATTTGGCAACAATCTCCTTAACAACTAGATACTGATCTCTGTATCGCTCGATATCTTCACTCGGCTCCTTCCCTTCATTCTTTCGTAGCCACTCTGGGTACTTGTCGGCCAACTCTCGCATAGGTTCATAGAGAATCTCCTTGCTGGTCAACTGCTCCATCATAGTCAACAACATTTTTGAAAAGTCCTCATCGCTTTCCCCATCCCCACCGGCACCTTGCATCTGTTTTAACATCTCTGCGAGGAAATCGTCTCCTTCAGAATCGGCTACTGCAGCATCAACTTCAGCTTCCGAAGATTTCATTCTCTCCATTGTCTGTTTAATGCGATCTTGAAAGTTTGCAGGTGCTTTTAATGGCTTTGGAGCGGAAGATGATGAAGTTGTAGCTTTACCCCCCGTAGCGGCGTCGCTAAGCTCTTTTACAAGGTGTTCAAATTGGTCTTGTAGCTCTTTCTGAGAACACCATGTTAACCTAAAAAATACAGGTGCTTTCGGAATTTGATATTCAAACACATAAAGTCTACATACTGAATCCTGTATTTCGCCCAGCAAGTCTTGCATTCCGAGCTGTAACTGGCGAGCAAAATCATCGTCAAGGGATGATGATTGTTCACTATCAGTCTGGGGTACGCCTTGGCCTTCAGCTTTAACCGCTCTCGTCTGGATCGCTGGGATAGAAGGGGTTTCAAAATCGTCGAGAAAATCTATATAGTAAGGCACATGAGATAAGTCGAACCGTCCCTGTACCCGCTTGTGGGGGAGAATCTCACCATCCAATTCATCGTCATCATCAGAATCTTCTTCCTCCACGGTAGGAGTCGGAGGGACTATTTCAGGCTTTTTTTCAATACTTCGTTCCAGCTTCTCAGAAGACGCTCCGGCTGACTTTTGAGGCTCCATGATGATTATTAGGGATTCGAGGGAAAACACGTTGTGGATGAGGAGTAACGATGTGGTGGGGCCTTGAAACTACATGTACATGTACCCACGAGGCCGAGTTCCAACTAACTCACGTGACGCCGATTGTTGGCTCGCGAGAGTAGGGATCTGGTACAAAACCTTGGCCCATCTGTCACATGCAAGTTTCTGGTTACAGTCGCAACTCGATATGCCGGATTGCCAAGATTCTAAGGATTTCGTACGGGATAGCAAAAAATCCGGGATAGCAGATTGATTTTGCAGTAGGAAAAATAATATTCTCAGAGGATCTCGTACGGGACAGCAAGGGATCCGGTGTATTGAGTTCCGGCATATCGAGTTGCGACTGTACTAATCTCCATGGCCTGTAGGTACATACATACGATTCCGATAACGCTATCCCCTGGACGAATGAGACACTGCAAAATCTCTCTCATGCATATATATCATGTGATCTCTATATTTTGGTGAGAAAACGTCCTGGTAAACAGCTTGCTGCGTTAGCCAGTCTTTATATTACGCTGGTATGCCATATTTCGCAGGATGCTGCCTTAAGTCCAGTCAATCACTTCCTGATAGAACATGCTAATGTATGAGAGAGATTTTGCAATGTCCCATTCGTCCAAGGGATAGGTCATGTGAAGCTTCCCCAGAGTAACGAGTCGCATGACCAATAGAATTATCAGCATCGCTAGTAGATCGTTCTTGGGTTGAAAGGTACCTTTGGCCTGAGTAATAACATACAGGTACGAGGTGAAGCACTGGTACATGAGTCGTTCACGGGGTGAGGACGAACACTGGGTGAAGACGAACAAGGGTTCTCAATATGGCAAGCTGCCAAAGCGATCTTTCCCATCGTTTCCTATTTGTTCGTCTACTTTACACCCAGTGTTCGTCCTCACCCAGTGAACGACTGTAGGACTCCAAAAATTGGGCGGCCTGGCCAACCCACGAAACAAATGGACCTCGGAGACTGGAGTAGTCCGGACTTTGAAAAGAGCCCACGAATAATTCCAGTGCAATGTTCCTTCCTTGATTTTATTTCACTTTATCCTGTACTCACGAAAAATAGTACGCCCGTTCATAATTTTACAAAAGGTTCTGCGATATTAAAACAGGGCCCACTGGTCCGGACGACTAAAGTTGGAGTAGGTAGTCCGGACCACGAAACTCATGGACTTACATACATACATGTCTATTGGAAGCTCTGGAACTTAATATTTATGTACTGTAGCTTTGTTAACCGGCCAATAAAAATGGTTTGCTTATATGGTCAGTGCGTGATTTGGCGCATATTAAAGTCTTCACTAACTTAGTGAAACATTTAATTCCTGTTAGGTGCTCTGTAAATCAATATACATGCTGCTATACATACAATACTGTACTACAGTAGACTCTCCCTAGGGTACCAGTGCCCAGTCCGCAACCACCGTTTTGCTAGCATTCCCCACTTTCTATAAGGATAATTCGCGAATTAATAGCTATAAGCTTAAGGATACATATTTTTAGTCCCGACCGTATCCTCATCCCTTAAACCATCAGGCAGAATTACAATCAGAGGCACTTAAACCCTTTTCGGAAACATGATAGGATCAACGCCTAGAGACTTAAGGTTGTAGTCTTCATCATGCGTGACAGGTTGCAACAGAATTTCAAGATCAAGCGATACTTATATCACGACTACCATAAAGGGTTTAAGTGTCTCGTTGCAATTCGGCCTGACGGTTTAAGGGATAGCGAGAGTCTACTGTAGAGTACCGGGGGTCAACCATAAATACCGAGAATCTGATAAGATAAACACACCTATTTCACAGCAAGATTCTCTTATCAGATTCTTCGTATTTACCCTCAACGCCCGGTACATGTAGTGAAGCCTTTCTTTATATAAAAGTGGATAATGACCCCCTTATATTTTTCAGTAAAGATTTAATTTGGGATTTACTAAAACCGATAGGATAATAATAACCAAATAAATAATTTAGAGAACCAATTTAGCGAAGATTTGGTGCATGAGAGATAATAGGTACAGTCTAACACCATCGCACCGCGGCCGCCTCATCATTCATGTACCTACATAGAGTACAGTAGACTCTCGCTATAAGGATATTTGATATAAGGATATACTCGCTATAAAGTTACCAGCGGCCGTTCTGCAACCGCCGTTTTGCTAGCATTCCCCACTTTCTATAAGGATAATTCGCTATTAATTCGCTATAAGGATAGATATTCTTGGTCCCGACCGTATCCTTATAGCGTGTAGTCTCAAGCATAGAGAAGTAACTCATGTTACAAAATGTACATACATGTATTTGTATTTGCCGTCGACTAGAGCGTATTTGCCAACCGTCAATTTCAAGAATTTACAAATTGTGGGGCTCCGAAATGGCAACCGGGGCTGTTAATTTTGAATTTCGGTGGGGCGGCATGCTGTGAGATATACCAGGAGGATCACAAGTACCCAGTTTTGTTACTACCGAAGCTAGTATCACGGGTATGAATTTTCAGTTCCAACAGCGTACTTCACAGGTAGCGTGATGGGTTGTCTGGTTTTCGGGGTTTATTCTGTCATACCGTTAACCAGATCGATTTTGGCCACTGCGGGGAACTGTCAAGTTTGAAGTGTCCATAGTTGAAATTGACGGTTGGCAAATACGCTCTACTGAAAGACTGTTTACAATTGTCACAAACATGCTATGTATGAATATTTTCAATAAGAGCACGGAAATTTCTATGAGATCATGAATACTGTTTAGTATCATTATAAAAAGATGAGAGTGCTATTTTATGTATTTTAACTTTGAAGATCTGCGTTAGGTCAGTTGTAGCAGGAACTCTCACCCTTGAGGTCCAGAACATGAGAGAGAAAGAGTGAGTAAGTGAGCACCTACTCCGACACCAACAGCTGCATCCCCTAGCACCACTACTGCTACCATCATTGCCCTTACAAACACTCAGATTACTCTGTAGGGTATTGATTACAACCCTTGGTTTTCGTCGAATACTGCTGCATCGCTTTTTACCTGCATTCTCAGCAATCCCATCATGTCGCTTTGTGTCAATCGGCTACAAGAAGAAAGGTATATAATCTTACTGTCTGCATCTTGATTCCTTCAAACTTTTTTTAGCTCTGCCTGGTATTAACATGATGTTTCCTAACCCCTAGGAAGCAATGGCGTAAGGACCATCCGTTCGGGTTCTTCGCCAAGCCTGCGAAAAGTCCAAACGGCGGACTCGACCTCATGAGGTGGAGCTGTGGTGTCCCTGGAAAGGAGAAGACTATATGGGAAGGAGGGCTTTTCAAGCTTGACATGATATTCCCAGAAGGTACAGTTCAGCTCATCGAGTAGTGAAGAGAAACTCGTGATAGAAAGCCATAACAACTAATTGCTCGGGCAATAGAATATCCTACCAAGCCACCAAAGTGTATGCACTCACTCTATCCCATGATTTAGACTCTCTTGCTAACTTTTTCATTTGATATAGGCAAATTCGTTCCTCCACTTTTTCACCCAAATGTCTATCCCTCAGGCACTGTGTGTCTGAGCATACTCAACGAGGAAGAAGGCTGGAAGCCTGCCATCACCATCAAACAAATTCTCCTCGGTATTCAAGACCTTCTTGATGATCCAAATCCCGAATCCCCAGCTCAGGCAGATGCCTATAACCTCTTTAGGAAAGATAGAGCTGCTTACGATAAGAAAATCAAGTATATTGTTAGGGTATGTTCACGAACCAATCAGACTAGAATCCAATAATTTTTCTCTTCTAACTCTAGATTTCAGGAAAACCCTGCACCATAGGTATGCCGAATCTCATACTTGTCTCCGTGGAGCAGATTTTAGTATGAGCTTGCCAAATACACAGGTGGGGGATAGCTATCCATATGGCGGTCATTTTTTGCAAGAAGCTTTTATCCTACCGCCGTGCGAGTATTATGAGTATGTTTTGGAAGACGGATAATTCGTTCCGGTTTCTCTGCTTCTGCTTCATGTCTTTTATTTCTTTCTTATGGCGCTGGCAGGAGGAATATACATGTGGTCACAATTGTCTTCTATGGTAGGGCCTGTCGGTGAATTTTGGGCGTTAACAGTTCAGCTTTGTATTTTTTTTTCCTTCCAAACACTCATCACTGAGCTGTATCATAATTACATCGAATACATTTTCTTGATCTCCTTTCTTCCTGTTAGGTTCACCCTCAAAATCTCCTGGACATCTATGCGGCATGCTTAACATCAAGAGGTGGTTACCCTACCCTTAGATTGCAGACCCTGACCTCCATTGCCACCCAAACAATCACAGGAAAAAAGAAATTTCTCATGTCGCAAGTCAACATTCAGCTAGGTGATGATGTAAGGATAACTATCTGTCCAGCATCTCTATTATTCGATCCTCTAAGGCTAACAAAATCAACTTGTATTATCGCATTCCAGAGAATTGTCAAAGCGGCAACAAGTACATCTAGTGCAGAACACCTAGCAAGCTCAAACACAAAGGTTTGTTATGCTACACACCTCCCCAAACTTTATAGCGTAGAATAGCATAATAACGCTAAGTGGTTAATGAAAAGAAAATGTTAGAGACTCTTCTGCTAGCCTCCAACAAACTACGCCAGAGATCAGAAGCGGTCGCAACAGGCATGGAAGCTGTACCTCGAACCAAAGCGATTGAACATGCCTTGTTAAACCAGAACCCGTCATCTTCCTCTTCATAGTTTACCCATTTTAACACTGTTCTTGCTATAAAAATCACACGAGGCTATAGGAGTAATATCAATTCGATTCCATTTTGCCCTTTTCTTGGATTTATGATCACTAGTACCGTGCCCATCAGAATAATTAGTATGCATCCGCAATGAATTTAATACCCAGATCCATTCCTATTTAAGAGGTACTATCAAACCCTTAACACCAGATATTGTATCAAAAGAACTTGATGGATGAGAACAAGAACACGCTATAACCAATAGAACAATTCGCTCTCGCAATTTTTTTCAATCAGGTATACAGAAGACATTGTAACGAAGAGATCTGGGATTCGATGAAAGAAAGAAAGAGGTATGTTGGGAGGAGCGCGAGAAATACTTTATCGAAAATAGCCCCTTACAGAAGGCAGAGAGTAGACAAAACTAGAACTCAGACCCCAGGGGGCCTAACAGCATTGTAAGAAGGTGGCGGCGGTGGTGGTGGCGGTGGTGGGTTGCTAGATGGTGGTGGCGGTGGTGGCGGCGAGCTTACAGAGGTCATTGTCTGATATGGGGAGGCTCCTGGGGCTTGCTGCTGCTGCTGACCATAATACGCTTGGTCTTGGGTGTCAAGCACATTAGTGATTGTATAGAACATCGGGGTTAGTAATACTCACAGTATTGCATATACGCCGGATATCCCCCAAACGCTGCGTAAGGATCGGCCCCGCCTCCATAGTAAGCAGCATAGGGATTAGCTCCTGGAGCTACTGCTGCAGCACCTGGCACTCCTTGGGCTACTGGTTGTGCAGACTGCTGAGCTGGAGGTGGCGATGCTGACTGACCATGACTCTGCCCATGCCCATGCCCATGCCCATGGCCGTGCCCGTGGCCGTGGCCGTGACCTTGGTTTTGACTGTGGTTTTGACTTTGCCCCTGGTTGTTTGGCATAGAGGGCACATAAACATGTGAGTTGTTTCCGCCATAGCCGGGGAAACGAGCTGGCTGTGGTTGGCTCTTGTGCTCTTCATACTGTTGTTTTACAGCTGTTAAAAGGTCTTCGCAAAGACCCTTGGCGTTCTGGACCTCGCGGGCGTCAGGGCCACTAATACACGATTAGTAGGTTATCAATATATCATTGTATAGAACTTTCTTACGTCACGTGAAGATAAAGGGGTTCATCACTCTCCTGGCCAAGGCCGTGTTCCATAAAGCCAGATCCACGGCCCTTAATTTGAACACGGCAACGTGTCTCCTGCTGTATATGCTTGACGTACTGCCCGCCGTGGCCAACGACAGCTGCACGTAAGTTAAATCCAGGAATAGGCTCTAAGTCGACAGGAATTCTTTCCTCGGGCCATTTACGCTTCCGTTCCCGTTTCGTCAGCAGAATCTCTCAGAAAACAGAAATATCCCCGAACTAACCCTTCCGTACTCATCACGTTCAACAGGTTCTGGTGGTTCCCTTCTCTTAAATCGGCGCTCGTCAACAAGGTTGGGAAGGTCCTGTTTCATTAATTCTTCAATCTTGAGGACTGCCTTCTCCAACCCTTCTTTCGTCGTGCTAGTAATGTGAAGATATAAGGGCGGGTTCTGTGTCCCAGTTATCATTAGCTAGGGAACTGGAAGATTTTTTTAGAAAGAATAAACATGCCTGTGGCGTGGCCATAGTTTTATCCGGATAATACGCTCCGCGGGTGGTGACATCTTGAATATCCAAAAATATAAGCAAGCAAATCTGAAATAACATGTAAATATACAACAATGGGGTAGTGGGGCGTACCCGCGCCAGTCTCTTCTTTTATCTAAACAGGCACGGATGACAGTCAGCGGCAAGACACAAAAGGGTTTACACAAAACTGCTATGCACAATGCTTGTTTCAGCTTTGCGTGATTCCTCCAAGCTGAGCTATACATAAGCAAAACCCCATGGTAACCGCTTTTCATTAAAATTGAGGGGATGGATGGGGAGGACAGATGAAATGAGCAGAAATAGCGAAAGCTAATGGACAACCTGGGGGGGATCAGTGTTTACCATTTTCTGAGTAGCACCCTTTGTCAGCGTATAGCGATTGCGCAAGTCATTAACCTCTATGTCTTTGATATAATCTCCATCGGCAATGTACATATCACTGTTGAAAGTTGTTGTGCTAGGAGGGCTAGACGATTTCCCAGCATTCTGCTGCTAAATTAAACGCGGTTAGAACTCAGGAGATGAGATGAATGGGAAGAAAAAGGCGTGGCCGGTTCGTACTGATCTAATTGGAGGGACATCAACGTGCTGAATGCCTCGCTTGGCTTGAATTGAAGCATTGATACGAGCGGCGGCGGCAGCTAGATACATGTATATATTAGCATAGGCTTGAATTTGAGTTCGAAATTGCTGCGCATACCAGCAGCAGCTGCAGGGTCGGGTTTGGCAGGAGATTTGCTGCTTGGGCTTGTGGCATCACGAGTGGGGGGAGGACTGCGACTTCGCCGACGCTCATCTCTGCGGTCCTCTCGACGAGAAGTGTAAGGGTTCGAGGCCGGGGAACGGGAACGCCTGTCGTCCCAGCGAGATCCCCCACGACCGCTCACAGACCTTTCCCTTTCGTCTGGCCGGTGGTCTCCATGGTGACCGACTCTGTCCCTACTAGAGCTGGATCTCTGAGTCTCGTCCCACTTGCTTCTCTTCCTGCGGTCTGGGGAATCATCTGTCATTGAAACTATTTCTGGGGTGTCCGGTGAAGTTAAGCCTTTGGATTGGGTGGAAAACGCGGTTCGTGATTGATATCAGGGAAACGGTCTGTGTACGTATAGGATAGAAGGGGGCAGAGCAAAGGAATATCAAATATATGAGTAGAGCTCGTGAAAAAAAAAAAGATGGGGGGGCTAAGAAGGCGTGAGAAAACGTGGGTTGGAGCACGTCAATCGAGGAGGTGAGCGTTGTAGTGGTGGTGGTGGTGGTGGTTGCGGAAGAGGAGGAGAGCATGAAATGTCAAAGGACGAAAGACATAAATTCAACCATTGGTCAACCACCACTAGCGCGGTAGAGTAAGTAACTACATGTATGAACAAATGTCAGGGCAGGGCATTAAAGTACAGTACTACATGTAGTATATACTGAAAAAGATGAAGAGAACTACATGTATATGTATAGTAAGTATTCTTGTGTACATATAATAAGCATGTACATAGCAAACAAGCAAGCAGTCTAGATTGTACCTAAATTCAATCCACGTCGATACCTACATGTAGGTACATGTAGAGTAACTGAAATATCGCCCTATACAGTACTGGGATTGAAACCTAACCCTTACTCTAGACTACATACATGTAGGTACATGTATGTACCACATCTTTGAACTGTGGTTACTGTAGAGTATGGGTACAATACCATGTACATGTAGTTTCCTACAAGACAGGCCCATGGATCTCGGCTCGACCCAAGAAGGTTTGAAATGTAGTCCCAGGACCAAGTACTCTACACCATTTTTAACCTAGAAGACTTATTTTTCTTCTTCTTGGCATGCCTCCCCCACAAAGAGGGCCGCTTTTCTATTTACTTACCATCCGCACCCCCGAAACCTAGGACCCTCCCTTCTCGAACTTGTCCATCAAAAATGGCCTCGATTTCATCAATGGCTGCTGCCCTTCGCACAGCCAGATTACCAACCACAATATTGGAAAAATATGCTGCAACCACTGTCACCAGTAATGTTCTCGCCGTCATCCCTCGCTGCCTCTCAGTAAGAATTCGTCACTCGTCATCGTCATCCTCCTCCGGATCGTCAACGGGCGCTTTGGCCTACAAAGCTCTTCATCGTCGTATAAACCCTCTCCCAACCTCAGAGCCCCCCGCTTGGTCTGCTTCCGCCGCCGTTTCCTCAATTCTTTATGAGACACCCCTTCCTTCTTCTGCTCCGCCAAAAAGACATGTTCTCAATTGTCTTGTTCAGAATGAACCTGGCGTTCTCTCTCGAGTGTCGGGAATCCTTGCGGCACGTGGTTTCAATATTGACTCATTGGTGGTCTGCAACACTGAAGTACCGGACTTGTCCCGCATGACCATCGTTCTTAGTGGCCTTGATGGTGTTGTTGAACAGGCTAGACGACAGCTAGAAGATCTTGTTCCTGTCTGGGCAGTGCTTGATTACACTGCAGCACCTCTTGTCCAGCGGGAGCTCTTGCTCGCCAAGATCTCTATCTTAGGCCCAGAGTATTTCGAAGAACTACTTGCACATCACCGGGAGATTACAGCAGAGGGTGGAGACTCTGGAAGGGCTGAAAGTTCGAACAAGGATAGTGATTATCATCCTTCGAAGCTTCCAATTTCCCAGGCATTAAGGCACAAACATCAGCATCTTCAGGCTATCACACAATTGACTCACCAGTTTGGAGGAAAGATTTCAGACATATCTGAAAACAATTGTATTGTTGAACTGTTAGTTTTGAACCCAAGCTATCTAGAATAGAAACAAGAAAGTCGCAAGCTGACATCCAAAATTGGCAGTGCTGGGAAACCCTCCAGGCTTGATGCATTCATGAAGCTTATCGCCCCTTTCGGTATTCTCGAATCTGCTCGAACTGGTATACCTTACTTCCTCCAGCTTTCGCCATTCGGGATTCTAATCTTTCGTTTGTACAGGTCTCATGGCACTTCCTCGCTCACCCCTGCACACACACTCAGAGGATCTCGAAGTTAAAGATGCCGGTGATGTTGTTGATGCTAGCTCTCTCCCCCCCGGTTAAGATGTTCTCCTATTATATCCCTAGATAGCTGCATATATAAAAAAAAATACTAAATGCAGCTTGTGCGTGGTGTCCCTGCCAACGAAAATAAATAATCTCAGGCCTCTAATCATATCTTGTCTGATATTATCCTGACGATCCACTCAACTTCGAATAGTGCTTTATAGTGCCTCAAAAGTAAGTTCTTTGTTAATAACATAGTACTAAACACCTTTCACCGGACCCACCCACCCGGGATAATGGCTGTATTACATCCTCCGCTAGAGAATTATGATCTCCATCGCCCCCCTTTAAGCTTCTGAGTTCGTTCAAATTTATGTTTTCTCTTGAATTAAATAGAGTTGCGAGGGGATGGGAATCTAGAATCCGGTATCCCTTAAACCGTCACTATTTTTTTAACGAAAATTGACTTCTAAGCCTGTGCTTTTGGGTTAGCCTGGGTATTGAAAGCAGATCTAAGCTGTTTTTTCTTTTTTTTTTTTAAGTGTCTTCTCAGGCTGCTACTTTACAAGTAGATACAACACTATAGCCGCTCTTTATGGGCCCTTTCATAGCAGTCCTCGGACTTTGCCAGTGGGTATAATTATCTACATTTCTAAACTCAGTCTGGACCTACTTGGGCCGTTGTTACCCTCCAAATATCCATAGGCTTAGAAGCCGGTTTTTGCGGGGGAAAAAAGTGACGGTTTAAGGGATAATATATCGAGGGTAGATTGTCTTTTGCGACACTAAAAGTACAGTACTAAAGAAGGGGGTGGGATCCCTATAGTAGTACTATAGTAGTAGTGCGGTATTCTTATCTATACCGTAATCTTTCCAATACCGATTTATGCCGGTATTTGGAGAAATATTTATTGCAAAGAATATCAATTAGTGCCTTCCGGTACAGCAAATTAGGACTAATTCTGCGTGTTTTGAGATTAGTCTTGCCTTGATGGTACGTACCCCATCTATACATCGAGCCCAGTATTGTATATACATGTATGCTAACATCACTATCGCCATCATCAAGTCTGCACCGGTTTAATTGCAATTATTATCACTATTGGCTGATAAGATTACCTGAAGTCTTTTGCATGAGATATTACGCCTAGATTAGGAAAATTTATTTTTTAAAAGTATATCTCAGTTCTAGAACGCCCATCATTGGAGGATGAACCTTCAGGGATCTTATAACGTGGGTCGATGGGCAAGGAACTATAATGCCAAGGAATACAACCGAGACCAGAACATAGTAGAAGATGTTCGTGACTATGGACTATGGGGCAGCTCTGTTTGATCCAACAACTCAACTGAACCCTATGACGTACCGTAGAACAATAATGATATTCGTGGAGTAGAATACAGAGATTGCGTAAAGAAAGAAGGAAAGAAAGAAAACAAGTAAAAGCACAAAACAACGCCCCCTTATATATCCAACCCTAGTTCAATAATGACTAATACCTTCGCGTAATAGAAACTAAAAGAAGTTAATAGAAATCCCCATTACAAACCCTAATCCCACTGCACAATACTTCCTCTTCATATTCCAATTTATCACTAACCGAAATACATAGTTGCCGTTACAGATCTATTGATAAATTAACATCTAGCGATTTTCATATTTGAAATGCTTCAAGCTTGAAATGTGGAATTAGGGTTAGGTGTTGAAAGTTTTAAGTATATCCCTATATCCCGTAGTTTTACTGGAGTGCTGCTATAGTGAATAAAGTTCGGTATTACAATTAACCCAGTATAATCTGGAACACGTGTTCTGGCTACTACCTTATTCTTACCGTATTTCTTCAATTTCCGTATTCTGACAAATTAAATAGTATACAATATACTACACTCATACGATTACTGTATCACTACTATAATTTACTTATATCGGTAATGCTATGATAGTGATCCCACCCCCTTTTTTCGTACTGTAGGCAAAATACATGTACAGTCGCATGCAACAAACGATAAGTCAAACCATAACCACTCTACCACGAACTCTGCAAAAGTTTCAAGATATAACAAGTGGCAAGCTGTTGTTATTCTCTATAAAATTAGCTGAAATACTGTACAGATAAATAAAGATACAAACTGTCCAGTCACGAGGAGGATTGGCCTACTGTATCACCAGATTTCAACACTATAGAGAATTCATGGGAGATGCTCAAGAGTGCACTAAAAAGGCAATGAAGTTATAGACAGAGAAGACCTCATCGTGATGATGAACCTTTTATTGCTGCACAAGAGAAGTGGGAGGCATTGTCCCAACCAAAGCTAGATAACTTACCCTTAAGGGTTGAGGCGTGTCTCAAAACCAATGGAGGGCATACTAGATGGTAGTCTCAAAATCGCTTTCTTTTTATTCTATTTAACTCTACTATGTATTCTCTATTAAATATCACTTGTGGTTGAGTAACGAGTATTGAGGTTGGGTGTTGCATCGTGAACGGCGAGAACTTGATGCATGGCGTTTCCGGACGCAACTGCTATTGCATGCCATACAAAAGATAGCCTTGGCGAGTTTTTTCTGTGTATGCAATAGCAGTTGCGTCCGGAAACGCCAAAAAACTACGAGTAGTTTCTGCCAGGCATGAGTACGCTTTCGTTGGCAGTAGATCCCGACAAACTGGTTTGTTATGGTCCGATTTTAATCCATCACTGAAGGCTTTAATTTTATCACTAATCTCTTCAATAGTAATAGTCCAGATTGACATTAATAGGAAGAATAGTAGTAAGTTACATACATACATGTATATACCTATTCAGGTTCAATACATACATGTAGTAAAGAATGCCATAGCACTTATAATCCCTCCGCCGTCAGATCCGATTAGTATCTGGTAGGTTAACCACATATGGAAGCCGTGACATCAAATTCTGTAAAACAAGACCAGGGCACATAACGCTTCCCATTCAACGGTCAACTGACCACATTTGAATGCCTACAAACCTTCAAAATATCCACGGGATGGCTTCCAGTAGGCGAATATGTCGTGCAAACAGGCAAGTATCTAGAGCGCATTTACTAAGTTTCATTTCTAACAATTGACACCCCGAAATCAATGGTTGCTAACAGTCCGATCTGTCCGATAATCCGAAGAAATAATCTATGGTTGTCCGAACAGGCTCTTAAAATTTTTACCAATTTACCAATTGGAGATATCCCTTATGTAGTCTGTCCCGCGTTTGCTGTCTGCCACAGCTATCCCTTCACGCCACAGTGCCGGAAAACAGAGGAAGGGATGGTATTCAGTGTATTAGAGCATTTTAGTCCCCATATTTCTACCATAATTCGGCCATATTTCTGCTGCAGAAGCCACGTGCGCCACACCATTTTACGTGGAAGAAATATGGATTACAGGGATGGACTAAAATGCTCTATTGAGTCATATTACCATGGTATTCCCGATAGTACCGTGGTAAGTGGCATTCTCGATAAACTCAGGCGCTGAGCGGATTCCCCATTAATTAGTCTAACACGTTAAATGCCCAATTAGGGCACACCCTCCTAGCCCTTAACTCCCGCAGCTCTCGGCGCGAGAGGTAAGTGGTGTTCAGCTACCATGGTATTTACATATTCCACCCAGCTCGAGCTTTCGGGGCGTTGAGAGCGAGCCTCATCATTCAGCAAGCCTAAATCGGCTTGAGCCTTTTCCCTCAAGCCGAGCTCAAACTATATATGTAGGTACTCTTCGCTGAACTCAGGGGGCTATATGGGCTGTGGGGCGGAGTTCCCCACGATATTACCGCAACGAACAAAACTACAATGATATGCTATATATTATATTCTACAAGCTCTCCTCACAAGAGTAGGCCAAGTACGTGAATGATCTCTAGTCTACTAATTCAATATGTTATAACTAGCTTTCACAACAGTCTCCACATACTAATTCAACTGTTGAGTTGATATCAATGTTGATAACACAAACCACAGCAGCTAATAATATCAAAAGTGACCTTAAGTATCCCAAACGCCGTGAATAAACAAAATCCCACATACTAACAGTACACCGATGACTTATTGTGTATTCAACGAACTTTCCCTAAAATCCAACGTGTGCCCCTATTGGTCTACTCCCGTTATAAAATAGTTCCACCGAAAAATTCCCAATTCCAATCATGCACAAGGCCTCTGCGTGCACCTTCAGTTGCCCACGTAGTGCTTTCTTAACCACTCCGTACCCTACATTATCTGGGCCCCAATCCACTGGCAGCTTGGGCGTCAAGGTTTTTCCTTGTTTACCGGGCAAAATGTCAAACGGCCACTCGTATAATATTGTCCCTAAATCACTGCCATTATACTTCGCTGTTCCATTGATTTTTTTAATCGTGATTGCATTGTTTCTTAGAGGATTATCGATAACAAAATCAGCAGTTGACGAAAGTACGTGAATCTAAGGAGGGAAACAAGTTAGATACTCAGCATGAAGGCAGCCAAATCGAGGTTTGGGTCTTGAGAGGGAAGGTAAACCGCTTACAGTTGCAGATTCTATGAAAGGGGGTGGTGCATTGCCATCAGGGTCGTCAATTCCACCAAGTCGAGGAGTTGGAATCGTAAGTTCAAAGTTTGATAGTACACCTGACAATAGTGGCAAAGATGGCAAGCTTCTCACATGCGGGCGGATAGTAATGGTGGTATTCTGGCCTGGATTGCTGAGTTAATGAAAGAGAACATATACGCTGTGGACTATGCTTACCAGAAATATATTCGCCGAGAAGATGGGCTCCTATTTTTCCTGCTTGACCACCCCCATGGGTTCTTGGGTCCCATATTGCCCACACAGTTAAAAGGTTATTACCAGGTAATATATGTACGTTGTGGACGCTTGCATTCCCCAATACCGTATCATTTTGTGTAATGTTAACATTCATATATGGCACTATAGCCCCCCAAGGGGTGGGGTTATTGATACTTAGATCAACGCGTAGGGTAATAGAGTGTGGCGCCGTATCTTCGATTACAACCTTATGAGCCTTTGGAGATGGCATAGACCCAAATCCTGGAAAGCGGTCGATGGTTATATTCCCCGTTACAGGTATGTTGCTAATCACAAATTCACCCAAGCTTGTTTTAATATCGACATCAGTATCTCCTCTGATACCAAGTTGAAGAGAATTCTCCTCCCCTGAAAGCATCTTTTTAACCACTATCCTGAATATATCATAATTCGTTATGTTCAAGGGAGCATCCTTAACCTCTGCATTAACTTCGAGATATTTGTTGTTACTAGAGCGCGAGGACTCCGCTATCATCCATTTGCGAAGGTCGAGTGCTCCAAATACCCCACCTTCGTACGAAACGTTTGCTATTGCTCGAAGTCGTTTCACATATAACGAGAGGTTTATTTCTTCCGGGGTTCTAACAATAGCAACCACCGACGCGCCTAATCGTGGAGACGACTCTGGGGAGCCAGGCTCAGCATCTGATGTTGGAAGTTGGAAGCTGACATTTGACAAACTGAAGGACTTTACTGTATCGTTGAATGCGTTTCCCGGGAATGGAACAAGAACGGTAATACTTTGTAAGATTTCCTGCAGCCACCCGGGAACATTCGGACTTGAAGAATCGCTGCCCCGAACAAAGACAGTATTGTCGTCCCCATGGAGGTAGGCCCCGAGAAATTTATCCATCGGAGATATCTGTGATTTCGGACAGGCATTGATGAAAGTACCAGGAAGGTTGTGTATGATGGAGGAAATTTCCACATCTATGTCTGACTTGGGCTCCACATGAAGAGGCAAGCTCTTCGCTGTAGCTATATGTACTAAATTGTGCTCATCACAACCTTGAAGGAGAATATTGAAGGGTATTGAAGGAATCCCAAACTGTAGTTGGTATGGATTCTTGAGCGTAATAGATGCAGTGGCGTTTACAGCCCTTTGTCTGGGGAGAATTACCTCCTCAAAATTTAATCTGTTGACTTGGAACTTAGGCAAAGATGGGAATTCTAATTTTATAATAATTGAGTCAGTCTATTTCTCAGAGAAAGATCATAGCTCGAATTTAGAACCTTCGAAGACTAGTTCCTCAGATATCTTTTGTGTTCCCAGGTTAAACAGACCGGCCTTCAAGCCCAGGCTTGCTTCTCCGCGAACCCGTAACAATCCAATATTCCCCGTGAGATAATCATTTACCACGCTCCGAACAATATCAAGAGACCCGGTCTCAACCTCGGAGACAAAATCTATTAGTGTTATTTGACCATTACGTATGTCTAATTCCATGGCAGGCGTGGTTGCTGTCCCCAACAGACCGTCGCCGTAATCTGGGAGGTACACATGCACTTTTGAATGTTCGCTCGATACCCTCCGAACAATCCATGTTCCAACTCTTCCAAGAGCTAGAACTGCATTGTTCCTGACTCTGCCCGCGTCCACAGTCACTCTTGCCTGGACACGAGCTCTTACACCTCGATCCGTAAACCCCTCAATAGAGAGACTTGAAATATCAAGAATGACGGCCTCTTTGGCATACTGCGAAGCAGCAGCGGGGACGAAAAATCCGATACATAGGATAGTAAGGATGCTTGTGCATAAGATAATTAGGGCGAGCCTGCTCGCAGGCCTACGAGGTGATTCGGAGGACGTATGAGAGATTTTGGGGAGACCGTCGTCAGGCAAACACGGTGATATTTCACCATTGTACGTAGTTGAAAGGGAATCATTTCGGAGGAGTGGCGTTTCTTCCGAAAATTGCGAGTGCGCACCACCGTGCGGCTTTGGCGAAGACATTAAATCCCCCGCAAGGAAACAAATTGAGGAGTGAAGTGGAGGTAGAGAAGGGAAACCAATGCAATAAAGTTTCTAGTGTAGCTGTTATGGTAAGATGGATGTTGGCACATGCGCTTGTAGCTACATGCAAGTGATGATTACATGTATGTACTTACATGTAGGTATGTGTCGTGATAGCGTTATTTTGACTGTCTAGATAACAGTGGCCGGCGTAGAGTAACTGAATAGAAACCAGAGGGGCTTGATAGAAAGAGGGAGAGGCGGTAATAACCTTAAGGACGAGGAGTTTCTAATCTAAAAGGGCTGTAGAGGTCGTCGGAGGTCGTAGGAATCGATCTACGTGATTGATGACACAATCGATACCTTGTAGCGCCTACGATTGTATGTAAGACAAGACGTAAATCTCCTAGGCTTATCGAGCAGTAAATCAGGACTCCCGGAAGAAGTAAAGACAAGTGCTGTCCCTTGGAATTATGAGACATTTGGAGAATCTCTGATGCATTGGCGTGGCCTACCTAGGAAATGATTGACTGTAGTAAGCAGCACCCGATATCCGTAACCTCTATTCATCATAAGTTGTCACTCAGCGGCAGATCTTATCAGATATCACTAATGGTTCCATCCATAAAAAAAGTATGTAGCGTCTTGGCTTTCCCATAAACTCGTCTACTCTATCACTGGTTTTTTTTCTTGCCCGGTAAACAAGTGGCTCTTCTCTCCATCTAATTGATCCACGCCCTTATCTCCACGTCACTATATTCATCCGCCAAATTAAGACCGAATTCAATTCCACATGGCTTCTTCAACTGCTCTGAAACTCTCCTTGCGGCACTATCCCCGCACAGTTACAACTACTGGTGTCAACACCTTTCTCCGTCAACTCTCGACCACACCATCAAGTAATCATAGCTATCAAACATCTCCAAATGATTCCACCTCCCCCTTCGCTCCGCGACATTTCTTATCAATTGCAGATCTATCAGCTTCTGAACTTTCCACTCTTGTACGCCAGTCCAGCAAAGCCAAACATGCCATTAAGACTGGTAATATCTCCACTTCACTTCAGGGCACATTATCTGGGAAGACAATCGCAATGATGTTTTCCAAACGTTCTACCAGAACTAGAGTATCCACCGAGGCCGCAGTGGTATACCTCGGTGGCCATCCTATGTTCTTAGGAAAGGATGATATTCAACTTGGGGTCAGTTCTAGTTACGCTAGTCTAGCATGATCGACTGCTAACCACGCTAAACCTAGGTTAATGAATCACTCTACGATACCTCTAAAGTCATCTCCTCCATGACATCTGGTATCGTGGCCCGTGTTGGCCCTCATTCCGATATTACCGAACTCGCAAAAACGTCAACAGTTCCAGTCATCAATGCACTTTCTGACGCTTTTCACCCCCTTCAAGCGGTCACCGATGTTCTTACCATAACCGAGCACTTCCCTAAACACAAGGGCATCAAGGTGGCCTGGGTTGGTGATGCAAACAATGTTCTTTACGACCTTGCCATAGCTTGTGGGAAAATTGGGATCAACGTTTCTATAGCCACCCCGAGTATGTATCCCGTTGGTCCTGACATGCTTGAGCTTGCTCGTCTTGCAGCCGATAAAAGTGGTGCGATAATTGAGACTACCCATGAGCCCGAGATGGCAGTAAAGGGAGCCAACATCATCGTTACGGATACCTGGGTTTCTATGGGACAAGAATCAGAGAAAGCCAAAAGATTGAAGCAATTCCAGGGATTCCAAGTCACGGCAGAGCTTGCCAAAAAAGGAGGCGCAGACAAAGATTGGAAATTCATGCACTGCTTGCCAAGGAAGCCTGAAGAAGTCTCGGATGATGTCTTTTACTCCCCAAGAAGTTTGGTGTTTCCTGAAGCGGAAAATAGGTTTTATGCGGCGATTGCAGCTTTGGAAGCGTTTGTGGTTAAAAAGGGGAAATTTGACGAATAGGCTCTGTTATAATAGAGAATTTGACAACTGGGGTGTTGTGGATATGATCCAGGACTATTGAAATGCCATAATGTTGCTAAACAGAAGATAACAATGAAATATGATGGATACAAAATGGCATAGAATAGTAACTCGAAGATCAGAATCAGCAGGGCTGGTCTTGTATATGATTTTAACGAAAGTCTTTAGACCTAATACTTCCTTTTATTTTGTGGGAGTTCAAAATGGACCTAGTTTTCCATAGATGAAACCGTGGCTGGTGGTCTTTTTTATGGTCAGAGCGGTGGCCAACGGTCCACTGGCCAATATTCTACGGGCCAGTGACTCGAGATGAGGTACGGTTTCAATATAATAATTATACACCCGAAAAATCATCATAGAGTGTTACACGGTTCAGGTAGTGGTTAACCATGAGTTGGTTCAGCATTTTAGGAGCTGACACTCACAGAGTTAAACTTTTGTCTCAGCTGGCTCATGCACGAGCCGGTAGGTCAATGATCGATAATGTAAGATGTGTATATACACTTATAAAATAAATATACAGTCGAACCTCGTTATAAGAGTGGCCCCGGTAACAATAATTGGTCAGTAAGGATGTGCTGGCGTACATACTCTAGTCTCGGCCCTTTTAACTGGGGAAAATAAAGATTTTCCTCTATAACGATATTATTAATAACTTGTTAGAATACGAGGAGGGTTCATATGTATTCTTATGGACACGTAGGCTTGGTCAATTCCTGTTGTTCTCAGAGGAACTTTGTGCGGCGGGCTAGTGTATGGTCATGGAATGGGCCGTATTGTTCGCCCCGAAGTAGAGGGTTGACAAATCGAGTGAGTAGTTATGAACCAAGCCCTTCCTTTCCTTCCCTTCGTTCGTTTTGACCATAAACGCTTTTGGGGGTGTTTAACTTGTTCCAGTGACCTTTACCTCCTAACCCACACTCCGCGAATCTCTTTAGGATCGAAATCACAGTTTGTGACCTCTTTTTCAACACATCTTTCCACTCCTAGAGGATATCCACTCCCTGTAGCAGTTAGTATTTTGAATATCAAATCGGCTATTCTACATATGTATGTGAATCGCGGGCACGAACGAAGGGATTCAAATGTTGTCTACATAATGGTGTTGTCTACATAATGGTGTTGTCATCGATAGTGTTACCATGAACGCACGATACAAGTCACAATCGAAGGATACATGTATGTACTTACACATTCCGGTAGAAGTATTGCGAAAGTGGGTTCTCCGTGACCCGATAGTCCTATTGGCCCTTAAAAGGTTTTTTGCTACGAGGACAGACCAACAAATCCACTCTTTTAACTCTGACTTTCGCAATAATTCTACCGGAAACTGTACATGTACATACCTACTACCCATTACCTACTCTCTCAAAATCCTAAGACATGATCTGTAAGATTTTCGGCATCGCTAGTACTTTACTCTAGGTTGGCACGAGTTCAGGAGCTGTCCATATACATACTGGGAGTGGCACAAATATTAATGGGCGCTGCTTAGTGCTTGTACCTACATATTAGTTGTTTTTAAATTGGTCTGGAGACGAGTACTTCATAGCCGTTTTATCTCATGAGCGCATACACCACTGCCCAGTAGATACCTGGCGACTGCGAGTTGCTACTTTGGTTTGTGAGATTCGAGTATCACGTCCACTAAGTGATGGGGGTCTCCGACCCCATCCCTAAAATAACTCTGTCAGTTCTTCCAGTTAATAAGAGCTTGCTCCCGTTGGTGGTTGGTTGTATACAGGGTTAGGGCTCTCACACCAACCAATCAGGTACATAGTAGATATCTCTATCGAATCTTAAGTGCCTGACACGACCTGGCAGCCCGTTCTCCACCAAGTGTCCGAGAAACCCTAACCTTTTCTGTTTTGATGATACCTCTTTACACGTCGTCTAAGTAATGTCCAAAGCGAAAAAAAAACCCGATATCGAATTCGCACTAAAGCGCATATTCAAGAAACAAGCATTCCGATCAGTTCAACGTGAAGTTATAGAGGTACCTTTGAACGGGGAATCGTAATCTTGTTTGATTCTACTAACAAGTGGAAATTAGTCTGCACTGGCAGGTCACGACGTATATCTGCAAGCAGCAACGGGTCTTGGAAAGTCGTTGTGCTTTCAACTGCCGGCAGTGGTGGTTGATCATGGTTTAACCATTGTCGTTTCGCCGCTTCTCAGTATCATGGTGAGAGTCTCGATGTCACGTAGACAATGGTATTAGTCGTACATACTCCCTTTAATCTAATTCATTCTATATATCTAGGCAAACCAAGTGGATGCTTTAAGAACGGCCGGCATCAAATCAGCCACCTTGAACAGCAGTGTATCCGCCGAGGAAAGACAAACGATTCTTGCAGATCTTGAGTGCGGACATCCAAAAAACCGCCTTTTATATGGTCTATAGCTATAATCTTGCTCATAGTTATTACCATTTGCAGTGCTCCTAATGTTGATTGAGATATATTCTAGTTACTCCAGAGCTTTGTGCTACCCAGAGCTTCCGCCATAAACTTGCACTGGTATACCGACAACGCGAGCTAAATCGCATTGTGATAGATGAAGCCCATTGTATCTCAGGTGGGCTTACAATCTTGGGACTGTTTATAATACTTTTAGCAGATCCTGTCTAAATTAATTCTGACACTAGTAAAGAATGGGGTCACGATTTTCGACCCTCATTCAAGCAACTATCTTTCTTCAAGTCGGAATATCCCTCGGTACCAGTAATGGCAGTAACTGCTACTGCCACCGAAAAAGTAAGATTTGATATTCTTAAAATACTCAATCTTCCCTCACCAGCTACAAAAATATTTCTCCTCTCTACATCACGTAAGTCGCTTTAATATAACCTTCCCTTTTTATAAGTCAATACTCACTGAGCATATGTAAAGGCAACAATCTTCACTACGAGATCCGATATACGAACGATTCTTTCGATACGTTCAAAGATATGGTAGCCTGGCTGAGAGAGGTTTATATAAGACGAGAACTACACCAAGATAAATATCAACGTGCTTCAGCGGTATGTGGGATTATTTATTGCCGAGCAAGACAGAAATGTGAAGATCTTGCAAAGGCACTACGAGATAATGGCATTGGCGCTAGGTCAAAAAAGGTTTCCCGAGAACATGGTAAATCTATGCTAACCCTTGAAATAGACCTTATCACGCAGGGCTTGCGAGTAAGTCCTCATTTCCTCAAAGCTCACCTGGAGCTTTACAATAGCAGGGATATGTACTGACATACAAAATTTCAAAGAAAAAGAAAAAGAAGACACCACTACCAGTTGGTTGCTTGACAAGCCTGGTTACGATATCATCGTTGCAACAACGGCTTTCGGAATGGGCATTGATAAGCCAAACGTAGGTAAAAAAAAACCATGGTAGTTATTTGCAAAAGCTAACTTGATTGTCCTACAGGTTCGGTTCATTGTGCACTGGCAAATAGGAAAGTCATTCGAAAGCTATTACCAGGAAGCTGGACGAGCGGGAAGAGACGGTAAAGCCGCGAGGTGTATCCTTTATTATAGTAGGGAGGACCGAGACCGAACGCAATATCTTGTAAGCTTGGAAGAAAATAAAAGAATGCCGAGTGGAAAGGGCCTCGGAAGGGCCACAAGCTTTGACGCTGTACGGCGAGCGATCTCTTTACTTCTTTTATTATCAGCTCTAGTTTTATACGGGAAAATACTGACTCCTAAAAGTTGGTCAACTACTGCGAAGACATCTCTACTTGCCGCCACCTAGCCATATCTAAATATTTTGGTGAAGTGAAGGCACCGCCATGCGATTTTGCCTGCGATCATTGTAAAGACGTAGATGCGCTAAGGCGAGCCAACCTAAGAATGCTTTCAGACGAAGAGCGGATATCGACACAACGAGAAGCTGGGCCATTTTATTATGCTGGCTACGACGAATGACTGTAAATTAAAGCTGGCTTGCCTGCTTATGTAGATACAAGAAAACCTCGCCCAATTTTCTTCCGTCTAATCCTGCTTATTTTCATGTCTCTTACAAAGGCCGAGAAAAGGGCGGGAGGTAAAACTACGATTTTATGGCTGAATTCACTGAGGGTCCCCATACAGCAAGACGGTGTAACCAAGCTTTTTTTCTATGCTAGTACCATTATGTATATAATGGGATAATTGTCTAGTATTCTATCAACCTAGAGGATATCAACTTATTGCGGTATCTCTATTACCAGTACGCATATTCTCGCGAACCTGGTAGTAGGGAGGGGCTAGGGAATTAATAATAGGATACATTCATATGGGGATTGTTACCAGTCTACCAGCTCCCACCCCTATGTTTCCCCGGATCCTCGGTACATACTCTGATTCAATATCGGCAACCTAAATTCTCTTCATTGTTTGTCAAACTTGTAGGTTAGTCTAGGATATATTTAGCAAAATTGTCTGCAAGTCTCACCAGGCCAAGGGATAGTAGAAGATAGTAGATATACTACATGTGGTAGTGGAGCGCAGATCCCGGAGACCGCCGAAGACAGAGTACTCTAGGTACTATGTACAGCTACTCAGTAAAAATGTTCGTGATTTAAAACAACGAAAAATATATAATATAGTTCGTGACTATATATAAAAGAAGATAGGTCATTGATCTTATTCTTCATTGATTCCGGGCTCCATTGGTCACTGGGAAGGTTTTCTCTTGGGGGGTTTTAATGGTCCGCCAGAGTTACATATATAGAGAAATGTCTCACTCCGAAATCGGAATCACGAACACTTTTGCAGAGTGGCTGTATGTACGTACCTACATACTAGGGGGGCCACCTCGCGACCGCGAGTTGTACTTTGGATTATGGGTATAAAATAATTATGGGAGGTCTTTAATGGGGGGGCCTTCGGCCACCCCCCTCCCATTCCACCTCCTGCTCTCTCGAGTTCAATTCTTCTCCTTCCATTAGTTAGAGTTCTTTCAGTCATGAGTGCTCAGAACTTTGATGTGTCGTGCTTACTAAACCACCCCTGTCACTCTCAACCAATCAGAGTGAAAAAACTTCAAGATATATTAGAAAGACAGGGTTCTGCTCTGACCATCCCACCTCACCCCACAACTTCAGCCTACAGCAAACATCGGTCCATATTGTCTGATCTTTTGCAGTATGATGATGATGGTGATGATGACTCGCCTGATTTTTGCTCGTTCTCACTAATTGTATCATTCCACCTCAATTCTTATGCCTGGAATTGGCACGGCGGGTGGATTATTCTCACTTCCACAATCTCGCCATAATCGTTCCACAGTACTGGCACATTTTTTGTTCTGTGAAGCATGCACTGGACTGTAGAACCTTCCGTATTAATGTGTATAAGTATCACGGTACCTGACGTTGTAAGATCTTGCTCTCTCATCATCTGCTGCATTGGAATATTCGGAATCAGAATCATCTCCTCTCACTCGCACGCTTCAAATTTATCCTACTCCACTCACACCTGCAACCCGAAACTCTTCAACTCAAAACTCCCCTTCTATCCATCAAAAAAATACAAACATGTTTAGAGCTACTACGAGACTCATGCGCCCATTCGGAAAGAGGCTGCTCGAGGAGCCACATCCATTCTTCATCTACCCAAAGACAGTGAAGGCACAACCAGTTCAACTAAAATTCTACACAACAAGATTAGCACGTGCCGCTTCAATGTAAGTTACTTCAGCCCTGTCTTAGTAGCCTGAACCCATTGACCCATGGACTTTTAGGTATCTTCCCATGTACATTGTCTTTTTCGGTTGGCCATTTGCAGCTCAGGCGTAAGTTTTTCTTCTTTTTTTGATAACTCCATACTCGATTACCACAGATAAAGCGCTAACAAGGTTACCTTTCAGTCTTGTCACTGCAACCGGCGGACCATAGTGTGAAACTTTAGGGTTTGGTGTTTCTTGGAATTACAAATGCCTGGGCTTTAAATCCTTCATTTTGTTATGTTTCCTTGGGTCGTTTATTGCGTTTAATTCTTTCGGTTGTTCGTTGATACTCTATATAGCAATATCTGAAAAGATTTTCAAGTCTTTCTAGTTTGTTTCTCTTGTATATACACGCATTTCTCCATTGTGGCTGCAATAATTGGGGGCATTCACCCTTATCGATGCTTGGTTTTGTAGTCATCTTTTTATATTAACCATCTCCAATAGCGATCAATCGACATCTACTTGTCGCAAGTACATATTTACAGATATGTTTTACGTGGTAGTGCCATGCCATACATGGCCATGGTAGAATTCGAGTTGAAAAATATACTCCATGTATGTAGAGATTTACATCTAGAAAAATATAGCCTGGAGATATTAGAGGTGTAATTACGAGGTTATAATTAGGGTAGATATTAGAGATTATGCGTTCCGTCCCAGATGCAAATATTGATTTTTGCCAACAGAAGTCCTATTCTATTTCGCACGTTTCCCCATGTTAGGGAACGAAGGTGTGTGGTTGGAAGAGAGTTGGTATGGGATAAACGTCAGATATAAATATATAGGGGTGAAATCACCACCGTATATATAGCAACACTAGACTCAAACCTCCGGTTTTGCTCAAGGCCAATGTTCGGGTGTCTCATGATAATGACATTCTCATATAGCCTCTAGTTTTAACCCGGTCATACATTTATGCCGTTACCACATACGTACATGGATATACATAGGTGCCTTACCTGCAACCGGAATCGTATAATGAACCGGGCTTGATATTCGCTCAGTTTGTGCTGATAATTGGGACTGACTTAGTGGATTTGGAAACTCGTTTTCTTTTATCTGCTACTACTCTTCCTTTAGACGGAATTAGTGACCGAATTCAATAACTCTTTTTATTAAATGGCTTTGGCGTGGTTCAGGCATACTACAATAGCTATTGTAGAATACCTACATGTACTATAATTTGATTTTCGAAACTACATGTATTGAGCATTTTATTGGTCGAGAGCGAGGTACATTATACAGTCGCCCGCTGTTGTAACGAACGCTCCCATACCGAATATTTGCTGTATCGAACCACTTGGGCTGGCTTTTTTCCCACCCCAGCAAAGAGTTTGGTCTGCTGTACCGAACAATCTGCTATACCGAGCGGAAAGGTACTCAATATGCACGTTCGTTATAGCGGCGGGCAACTATACTCTCAAATATTTCTTGGCTGAACTCGCTTGATGGGGATCCATTAAGGGTACAGTCGTTTCTGGGTCAACGACGAACCTGGCTCGATGACGAATGGCTACTTTTTGCGCTGATAGTTAGTCAAGGCAAAGGGGTCGGCGCGCTTTTGTTGGCTTTTGTTGGCTTCGATTGGCCTATTCGCCATCGAACCGGTTTCGTCGTTGACCCCGAAACGACTGTACCTACATAGAGTATTATTCAACAAAAAAGTAGACCAATGAGAATACAGTACAATCTCCTTATCCCTTGGCCTGGTGAGACATGCAGATTCGGGACCCTCCAAACTAGGCAGGTTTAGACTGTGGCCCAGTGACTTTGCCATGGGATTATTATATGGCTGAGCTCGCCGCCACGGAGGCAAAGGCACTGGGCCACAGTCTAAACCTGCCTAGTTTGGAGGGTCGTAACCTTATCCCTTGGACGAATGAAACTGTCAAATTCGCGACCTACTTGCATATACTTCTTTCAGCTCTCACTAGCCTACTGTGGTAAGTTCTGGCAACTGTTGTAAATTCTTGATTGGCTTTGATGCTGTTGCCAACCGTAAAAAGTAAGACTATTGCCCTACTAAGTGGTGCACGGTCCAGGTCGTCCAAGGAATAGGGTGTGTACCCTTATAGGAGGAGCAAATTTGTACCTACGAAGCCCATTGAGGACCCCACGCACCTACCGTTATAAGGCGAATACCCTTATAGCCCGAACCCTTATAAGGAGATTGTACTGTAGCTATTTTTGAGGGTGTTTTTGACTGAAACTATACCACAAATCGATTGAACTACGACAAAAATGGTTTTTCATTTTTAATTAGAGACTTGCAGTTTTGAGCCGATTTGTACATATGCGGATTGACATGCAACCATCAATTTTGCTACCCGCAACGAATTTTGATGGTTAGCCTAGAGTAGAGTCTCTATTCCAATTTTCAACCCAGGTTCTTTCAGGATGGAAAGCTCAAGATGGTCTCAAGACCAAATCTATTTGACCGGTAGGCCAATCACAGCAACCATCCAGAATTCCAGCTTCATCTTATCCCCACTTTGAATACCCTTATTATAATAGGTTATGGTGGATAACATGATTTGAACAATATGCATAGCAAAAGCTTTCCCGCATGGGTAAGGGTACAAGGATGTCATGACATGCTGACCTACTCTAGAGTTTCGGTTTTAGTAAATTCAGGTAGATAATAGCTTTACCTTATCAAGCAATTGATCTCACCCCATTCTAGCCCTTGGGGGTAGCATTAACAATACACTCTACATACCCCAGTATTTCGGATGTCTCAGTAACGATTGTTACCCGGCTGTATATGAAGTCGAAATTTGTATAGGTGATTTCGATTAGTACGATCAGTACGTGAACTTGCTTTGTATCCTTGCAAGTCACCTTGAATTATATCCACAGGGCGGGAATCAACAAACTGAGAGTAAAGAGCTAAAAATTGGATATGATCGAAAATACAGCAGTACAAAGAAGTTCTCCAACAAAAGAGTTATTAATAAGTAGCGAAGAAAAAGAAAAGTGGCGACCAGAAGATAAAAAGGTCGCGATTGTGGTTTTTTTCCAATCGAGGCATTATGGGGAAGCCTCCACGATCAGACCAAGCTCCCCTGAAATGTAGAAGCTACCTTCCTAGTATCCATTCATCGTCATCCTTTGTTGCGACCCCCTGCTTAATTCCCTCTCAGCGGCTGGTGAAATGGGTCGGCTGCTGCCAGCACCCGCAGCACTGGACTCCTTCAAAGCTAAGAGCTGCTTTGCACGGAATGTTTCGTAATGGATTTGAGATGTGGTTTCGATCAGGTCCTGGAGGTGAGTACGAGTAAGGAAATTTCGCAAGTAAACAAACTCGCAGTGCTTCTCATCCTCAACTACTCAAATTTATCAGTAACTGCATTAGAAAATAGGAACGCTTGATCATACCATTGATGACACCCCATCTGTTTTGCCTTCCACGAACTTGCTTACCATCGACGATTATTGATTTCTCAGAACCTACAACGGCAAAAGGAATGATGTTCTTTATCTGGGCGTTCAGGGCACGCTCTTCCTCATCCAATTCATCATTGTCGTAAGGATACATCTTAAGGTTGTGGAATGCGAATTCCTCCTTTATCCTCTCCTTAAAAGCAGCGCGCTCCTCTAGCGTGAGTGAGTCCGACTTTGCAATTACAGGGACAACGTTGACAACGTCAGATAATTTTTTCAAGACAACTATGTCAATGGGTTTCAGACTGTAACAGAGAGTTTAGCAATTATGGATGGGACGATTGAGCTGTTATTGTATACATACGCATGTCCAGATGGCTGGATGAAAAATAGACAACAGTGGATGCGGGTGTCTTGAATGTAGCGTTCTCTCTGAGCAGTAAGCTCTTTGCGGAGGTATGCGGAATGCTGGTCCTTAATATACTTGACAATGGGATCCCAGCTACCAATAATGTCAGCTATGGTTACAGGGCTCTCCGACGTTCATAAGACTGAGGTTATACCATCTGTCGTTGTTAACCTGGTCGCCGTAGCCCGGGGTATCGACAATGTTCAGCCGGAGACGAACGCCGTTCTCCTCAATAACTATCGTAGAGTTAGCTCTCACACGTAGTTTGAGGCAAAGTAAAGCATGACATACTGTGGGATACGGTCTGGATCTCAGTGGTAGACCTTACAGGTTCATCGGGGGTGAGGCGGCCCTTGGAATCAATAAGATGTGCCGCGAAGATTGTGTTGATAAGAGTTGATTTCCCAAGGCCAGTCTGACCTAAGATTGTTCCGGTTGGGTATTAGCAAGGCGGGTAGGATGGCGAGATGAGAAGCTTGTCACATACCAACACAGATAACATTGAATTGAAAACCACGCTTCAGAAGCTTCCTCTCAATTTGCGAGGTGATACTGTCGAAACCGACGTGACTACGAGGAAAGACAGTAGCAGTCTGGGACATCATCGCTGCAGTTTGAGCCATGATTGCAAGATATTAAACGGAGAACAAGGCGGTTGTGCTAGTAGTGGAATGCAGAAATGGAAAGGAAGCTTCAGCACGAAGAAGGATAATGTAAAAAGAAGAGATAGCTCTCCTTGCGTGTCGATAGTGGATGGGCAAGTGGGCTGAGGAGGGATTGAGGTCAGTCAGGGGGGGGGATTACAATAATCTTTAAGGAACGAAAAGGGGTTCGCTTGCTTGTCTTGTCTGTTGTTGATTGTTTGGGCCACTTTCCCTGGCTTGGCACTGGGAAATGGCGTTCAGCTCAGGGTTTCTCACATGCATCAGCATATAGCAACCCTAGCCCACAAACGAACTGGGCTTGTGAAAGAAATTGTTCTCAACTAATACCGAGACATCCCCACTTCCTGGTTCCTGCGTTCGGCACATCATCGTCACTCGGCAACAAATTCTCCCCCAGCTTTGATCAAGTGCCAAATTTCAATCTAAAATGGCAATGCATGCTTTATCGTCCTCGCGTGCTGGGCTTTTCACCTCGCTTCAGGCTCTTCTCCCCACACTCCCTCGCATGTCCACTGCAATCACTATTCCAACAGCTATCCACCTCAACATTCCTTCATTTCTCCCAGAACTCTGGGAATCAATACTTCGCGCCGTACCTAAAAAGAAACAGAGTCACTCGAGGAAGCGTATGCGGCAATTGGCAGGGAAGGCCCTACAGGACAACAAGGCTCTCAACAGATGCCCCGCATGTGGAGGGGTCAAACGCAAAAACGTTCTTTGTGAGAACTGCGTGGAATCAATCAAGGCTATGTGGAGGAAAGAAGGAGAGGTCAAGGACGTGGGGACGGAAATAACAACAGGCACCCCATAAAAGATACGGCTTCTGCGGAATCGATTTAAAAGGGGTGCCTACGAGAAAATGGGTTAGATGGTGAGCATGGCACAACCTAAGATGTTGTATTCAGATTTCGCAAGGCATGCGGTGGTAGCACGAACGATTAAACGGGCGGGAGGAATCTTCTGTACTTAGAGGAGATTTATGTACAAAGCAACGGTCATCTGTCAAACCAAAATGTTGACATAGTGGGCCAGAGGTGGTTGACTTCGTCTCTTCATATTAATTTGTTACTTTCATCCCTATTACATATATATTATAAGAAATGGAGAGATTGTAATAACACGTGCAGTAATTGCTCCATTGAAGCATTGGCCTAGTTGACCTTTTATTGTCCATACAAGAGTTGCACTTACTGTCCTGGACTTTGTTCAACCTCACGGTATTGTAAATGCCTGCGCATACTATACGAGTTCACCACCTATAGAGCGCAATGGCGAGGAGAGTATGTAGGTATATAATGTAGAGTACATGTATGTATATGTATATTGTAGAGTATTTAGTAGTTGCCCTAAAGTGCTCCAGGCACATATATCTATATTATACATGATAAGAGTGAGGTTTCTATGCAGCAGGCGTTCAATGATTATCTAATGCAGATTTGCGCGTTGAGACCTACTTAGTGCATGCTCAGGCGCGCCAAATGGATGCCCCGCCACCGTGCAGTAATCAATCGCCTTCTACTCTAACCACCATCAAAACCGCGAGTCGATCCATCTTTCGATGGTAAGTTTGCTTCAATTGAATAAGATCTTTTAATTTGCTGCCTTTAGTTAACAAGTTTAAAAGTCGAAACAATACCTCACAGCTCATGTTCAGGAAGAAGGTGTATCAATGGTACCCTATAAAAGACTTGTTTATGAATGAATGTTGACTGTATCCTTTCCTAAAGCTCATCCTTCCGACATTTTTTCACTTGCCGTGACCTCTAGATATGTCATATCTGCATCCGGTGACTCGAATATCAAACTATGGGATACTGCCTCACCCGAACATCCACTCCTCCACACTTTTGTCAAAGCTCATCCCTTAGGAACCCATCACGTTGGGGTAAGCAGAGATGGAAGAATAGCAGCTAGCTCCGGATTTGATGGAGAGACTTTACTGTGGGACCTTGAACAGCTTAAAAAGATCGGGAATATTGGAGGTTCGTAAGATCAGCGATAAGCCTGTTCGTTAAGCTGCTGATGATTGAAGTTTAAAGGAAAGAACCCTGGAGAGGTCTGGGCCCTTTCTTTATCAACTACTGGGAGTCTCCTTGCTTCAACAACCTACGATGGAAGGGTAATACTTTGGAATGCACTGGAGCAAGGAACGAAGCTTCGGCAGTATGAGACGAAAGGAAGCTTTGGCATGTGTGTCGAAATTGTATATTATCCTATACCCTCTAGACCAAAGCAAACAACATTAAGCAGGTCAATAGTCTCCCGATGGAAAACTCGTAGCATCTGGTCACGAAAATGGGGGTGTATACATCTTCAATAATGAGACAGGACGCATTTTTCACTCCCTTCCCGGTCAGTCACACAAATTTCTTGAATAGGCATTTGCTGACAAAATAATTACAGGTCTCCTCAAACCAGTGAGATGCGTCGCGTTTTCTCCTGCGGGAAAATTACTTGCTGCGTGTGGTGATTCCAATTTTATTGCACTATATGACGTGGCATCTGGCGAACAAGTGGCCAATCTTGCTGGGCACTCTAGCTGGGTGTTTTCTATTGCGTGGAGTTCAAGCGGGGAGTATATTCTTAGTGGGTATGTAGCCAATGCCCAAACCTCCAAAAACGCCCAGTCAAGATAATGGTATGTGCTAGGTCGTTTGATGGGAAAGCAAAGGTGTGGTCTACTGAAACGAAAGCTTGTGTTGCAACTCATAGTGAGACAGACAAAGCTTTGCACGTCGTCAAGTGGTTACCGAAGGGACAAATGGTTGGAGAAGGTTTCTTAACCGCCGGCGCCAACCGTAGGATATGTTTCTACCGAGAGGCTACAGGAGGTTAGAAGGGTACGGTGTTCACGCGAATGAGGAGAATTTATGAAGTTCCTTCGCTTAAAGCAACCGTATATGAAAATTCTGAGTGAAGTTCGATCGGTCACCCGTTCTTGACCTCCTCTACTAGAGTAACACATGTAGAGTAGAGTACTTTCGTTGCTATTTTTACCATCTCCCCTGACACTTTGATGAGTCATCTAATCCTGCACTGTTCAGCCTGATAATTAGAGTTGGGCTGCAGCCTGGGAGTATGGGGCTGAGCTGATTAACTTCTTTGGGGGTTAAGGTTACCCCCTAGTCCCTTGCAATGCAGGATTAAGATTGATACTAATTGACTAAATAATTTTACACCTACAGCTGTTACCTACTGGAGTAACCCGCCGCGTTACCTACATGTACATAGGGTCACTGTAGAGTACCTACACCTTGTTTACTTTCCTATATTTACCTTGTCGTCTCTCCTGGCATTTCTCTTTCCTTCCCTACTTGTGACCAACTCCAACTTTTCTCTCTACGAATCCGTTTACACAATATAGTCTGTCGCTCTTTAGGCCCTCCAATCTGTTTTCTCAGCCTCACATTCTTTTCAAGACTTCTGTTCACGATGTTCAGAAATACCCTTTTAACGGTTTTTTTGCTCATTGTTAGTGGATTCGTCTACTGTGCTGCAGCTGAGATCCCACCAGTAAGATTTCAACTTCAATATGATATCTTCTGGCATACATAGCTAATAACTGTTGAATACGTAGGCGTGTGTACTTGCATGTGTAAACGAAGAAAGCACCCCTTCCGATATACAGGCCGTCTGCGCTTCAGAAAGTGCGCAAACTTGCCTGGCCTCCAGGTGCGGCGGATCAAGGCAGAAAGCTGTTGATTACTTCCAGACTACTTGCAAGTCCTATGATCATGAAGTCGGTATGTAAAACATCAAAAACCAAGCGGTATTTGGGATAGAGTTCGTTTGAGAGAGTGAATAGCAGGATAGCAATTCACTTGCACATATGAATTATCATTTTTGAGCTCCTGATAAACGGATGCCACAGTTCTACTTGAACTCATTTACTGACGCCCGCTATATCCTCAATAGCTGAGCCAATCCCCGCCAACGTCACGTAGGTTTTTATATTCATTGGTTCCCCCAGAAACCGACTAACTTGGATTGGATTTAGGATAACTCCTTCTACACGGCCAACTGCATCTGCAACTGCTGCTTCGGATGCAGGAAATAATGGGACGAAAATGATGGCTTTTGGCGGATCATTTGCGTTGATACTTTGTTCAATTGGTTACTTGATTTTGTAAAACCGCTGATGATAGCAATCATACTTAGGAGTAGTACTGTACCCAATATACTTTTCACCTATTTTAACAACCGTAAGGCGTGATGAATTAATCGTTTGAAATGTCAACAAACATAGATTATCAGAAGGTCGACTGTGTGGGCATAAGTAAAGTCAGTATTTAATCGCAGTCGAGCGCACATTCCCTATATAGTGAAGGCTTACTGTAAAAATACTCCATAAGGGATATAACTATAAAGGTGTCACTTTTCAGCCCCCTTTCCCTGCTTTTCAGAAGGGGTACTCTCTTTGAGGTCAATCTCGCTCTAGGGTACCAAATCCTGGTCCCGAGCGTACGCTGAAAGCAAGTGTTCCTGTATCTCTGAGTTTGAATTGTTATTCCATTTATTGGATCCTTGACTTCGGTGGAGGATTATCAGGGAAGATGTAATTTTTTGTGATTTTCGAAACTCAAGACGGCCATGTTTGCCCTGAACAAACCAAATCTGAAATGACACTTAGGTAGTGAATTCTCGAGTATAAATGAACCTTGAGCTTGGCAAGGATTGACGAGGTCACACAAAATCACTCGATGTCGAGTGATAATATATGGCAAGGTGAAAAGTGAGGTGGTATGGGATCGCCGTAATGGGCACAAAAGTGATTTATTTATTATTTAGTTTTTATTCATATTGCTTGCACCAAAGCTCAGGTATCGCATACAAGGAAAGATACCCATAATCCCGACCACAAACTTATGTAAATGAATACAAGGAAATATGAAATCGAAGCAGTAACAGTAATCGAGGAATTAGAAACAGCAAACGAAATGTAAGAAAGAAGAGACAAAAAATTACGAAGTCAAAAAATTTGAGCATACAGAGGAAATCCTCCAAATGACAAGGCTATAACTCAGTCTCGTTCAGGCTCACTATTCAGTCTGTTTCCTAAGTTCCTGTTAATAATACTTGGTCGCTGATGTATGATCTAATCATACCTAACATTTTTTGTACTATTCAATCCAATTCCTCCCCATCCTATATTACCTCCCCCAAACATATCTCTTTTCCATAATACCAGTTTCTTGTTACTGTAACTTGTGTATCTCTAAATGAGAATAAAATCAAGTGGTTATTTATTTATTTATTTATAATTCATACTGATTGCACAAGAATCTGGGTATGGTATACAAAGAAACAAAACCCTATAATCCTGGCCGCAAGCACAATTAAAACATAAAGCAAACTAAATAATCTAACTGCAAATAAATATAGGAAATCCTCCACCCGGTCGCGGTCTACCTCACTGTAACGGAGCCATTTCAACTGTCTGATTGTAACGGGGGTCCTTTCCAAGAGAAATAGAATCGGGTAGAATAGAGACAGCCGTGCAAGATAGACAATCAGGTTGCAGATTATTTCAAGGAGACTAGCGCTAGAACTCAACAATCTTTAAGAACTCTGCTACCGATAAGAACTTGATTTTTCTTTTCGATGAAGACTTGGGAGAACCGGACTGAAGCCCGAGAATGAAGCTGAGTACTTATACTCTGAAGGCCTCTATTCTCTGCTCCTAACTTCTTACTAAGTTCCGGTGAAGCCTTTCCTCGGTCCGGTAAATAATACCACCGCTACTGTGAGGGATACGTACAAGACCTCTAGAGTACACTACGCAGAGCGCAGAGTTCGGGTAACAGCTACAAAGGTAGATGTAACAGCAGCCATACGTTTCGGTTATGCGAAGTGTTAGAGTATGTAAAGGAAGGATTGTGTAGTGTGTGTGTGGGATTTGTTAAGCGAGTTTCTATTATGTTCTTTCTGTTTCTGTTATGCGAGAAGATGAGTCATCGTGGGTTGAGGTCTGGATATATAAAGGGGCGTTGTTTCGGCTTTCCTCTGTTTCCTTTTCTTTCCTTTCTTCTTTACGCAACCTCTGTATTTATTCCACGAATACTATTCTTTGTTCGCACTACGTCATAGGGCTCCAACCGGTTTATCATACCAGGTAGAGCCATCCCATAGCCCATAGTCAAAGTATACCTTTACGTCTACGTCCACGTCTACGTCATTATCTAGGTTGTATTCCTTGGTACCACAGTCTATCGCCTACAGTCCCCGTGATACGTAGGTTGCGTCCTCTATCGCCAACCAATACAACACCATAGTCTACAATGTCGGAACATGTCCATATCGATTATCAACAACTTAACGATAACCTCCAAAGATTTTTTCAAGCGCATCCATAGGTCGACAACGTGGTCGGAGCTGAAGCTTATGCGCTTCTTCAACAGTGTCAAAATGGTCTTACTCAATATGCAACGGATTTGCAGGAGATAGAAGCGGAGGCTGAGAGGGCAAGAAGGATATTTGAACGAGATCTTACTGCTGCCCCAGCTCAACAAACCGCTGTTGAGGTTGTGGCCCCTGACGAAGAACCTATTGGAAATAATGCTCCACCTGTACCTCCAGCGCCACCAGCTACAGGTACCATCTATCGGTCGGAGAAACTCCCAGACCCCGACGTGTTCAGGGGGGATCGTGACCGAGAAAGGCTACACTTATTCAAGCAACAAATGAAACTCAAGGTATTAGGAAATACCGATCGTTATCCTACACTACAGTCTAAGTTATCGTATGCGTTCAGCAGATTGGAAGTCGCTGCTGCCAATCAGTTCTTACAGTACATGAGAGAAGAAGGTATTGCCTTACCTTCTATGACACGGTTTTACGAGATTCTGGATACAGCTTTTGGAGACCCCGATCGAATGCGTACGGCTAGGAGAAATCTCCGGAATATCAGACAACGCACTCGAACTTTCGCTGATTACTTCGCTGAGTTTCAACGGTATGCTGCTGAGTCGGGAATGGATGAAGTTTCTCGGATTGAAGCTTTGATGGAAGGAATTAATGGGGAGCTGGACGAATCGATGATACACCATGAGACTCCTGCAACGGTAGATGGTTGTGCAACACTCTTGCAACGGTTGGATAACCGACGACGGGCGGCGGAAGCTAAGCGAGGTAGTAAAAAACCTTGGGCTACTACTGCGACCCCGGCTCCGCGTCCCCCACCAACAAATCCTGTTCCTGCTCCCCGTCCCGCTGCCCCTGCTGCCAACCCACCTGCCACTGAGAATCACCCCTCGTTCCGTCCTGGAGATGATGTACCCATGGATCTGTCTGGAGGACGTCGTCGCCCTACCCCTGCCGAAAGAAACGCCCGCTTAGCTGAGGGCCGATGTTTCTATTGCGGAGGTGTCGGGCATATGGTTAGGGATTGCCCTCAAGCGAGGGCAACGGGAAATCAACCAAGGAGGCCTGTTATGAGAGGAGCGGCATTGACGGTGGAAGAAAATGCCGGAAGCGATAATGAGTCGGCAAAAGATTTGTCCCTGCACTAAGTGGCTTAGCCCAGGGACCATTTAAGGATTTTTCTAGGATGTGTATTTCTGGTTTTTCGGTATCAGAGGAGGAAATGGATGGAAATCAACTTGTAGTAACTTGTTCGATTTCACAGAATAAAAATTCTTTCATACCTACCTACGCTCTTATTGATACCGGAGCATCAGGATATGCTTTCATTGATGAATCTTTTGCACGCCACAATAGTCTTACAACGACTCCCCTTAAAATACCTCGCCATGTAGACGTTATAGATGGAAGGCCTATCAAATCAGGAAAAATTACCCATATTGTCGATGTCTCGCTAGACATTCATGTTCATCGAGAAGTCGTACCATGTTTTGTAACGAAGTTAGGACACTATCCGATTGTGATGGGGATACCTTGGATGCGACGACATGATGTTACGATTCGACCGAAAGAAAATCTACTTGTTTTTGACTCTCGAAGCTGTTGTCAACACTGTTCAATCACCGGTACTGCAGTTATTGTTCATGGCATCTCGATTCCCTTACCGGAACACCATACGTTTATCGTTTCAGCAACTGAAAAATCTACTGTCGATATTGAACAATTGGTACCGAAGGAATTTCACCATCGTCTCCATATGTTTAAAGAATACGATGCTTCAATTCTCCCACCACATCGACCATCCCACGACATCGAGATAATACTGGAAGAAGGTAAACGACCACCATATGGACCTATATATGGATTGTCTCAAATTGAGTTGAAAGGACTACGGGAATATCTTGATGAAAATTTACCTAAAGGATTCATTCGAGCCAGTGAATCACCAGCGGGAGCACCTATATTGTTCGTAAAGAAAAACGATGGAACTCTTCGACTTTGTGTTGACTATCGAGGCCTAAATGCGATTACAATCAAAAATCGATATCCGTTACCATTGTTAAAGGAAACCCTAGCTAAGTTGTCAAGAGCAAAATACTATACAAAGTTGGATTTACGTTGGGGATATAATCAAATCAGGATAGCGGAGGGGGACGAATGGAAAACAGCATTCCGGACTCGATATGGACATTTCGAATATACAGTAATGCCGTTTGGATTAGCTAATGCTCCTGCCACATTTCAGCATTGGATTAATGATATTCTACATCCCTACCTCGATCAATTCGTAACGGCATACTTAGACGATATCCTTATCTATTCCGAGACCCTATCAGAACATAAAGAACATATTCAAAAGGTTCTAAAGGTACTTGATGAGAATCATGTTCACCTTAAACCTGAAAAATGTGAATTTATGATTCAAGAAACAAAATACCTTGGCCTAATCCTTACTCCGAATGGGAATAGAATGGACCCAAAAAAAGTCGTCGATGTTTTAGAATGGACCACACCGACAAAGCTTCATGATGTTCAAGTATTTCTAGGATTTGCAAATTTCTATCGACGATTTATTCTAGGATATTCGAAAATTGTTGCTCCGCTTACAGCTTTGATAAAGAAAAACGTTAAATTTGAATGGACGGATGAAAGGGAGGAAGCTGTGAGGGATGCGTACCAGACCACAAGAGTACACTACGCAGAGCTCAGAGTTCGGCTAACAGCTACAAAGGTAGAAGTCTCCAAGGTCTCTTCAGTCAACGTCGAGTATGATTCTCCTTGATCCGATACGGGCCCCGCGAGCTACGTTATCAACAAAGATTCACTAGAGTTAGCGTATAGGATTCGACCGTCTTCGACGTAATAGTTCAGGTAGAGTTCGAAGTCACGATAGAGTAAAGTAATTTCAAAAGTATAGTCAAATAAGGTTGTAACTCGCGTATCAACGATTTATATTGTTAAGACTCTGATTTCGCCGATGATAGTTTGGCTAGTCAGTGAATGACACAGTATTTATATCCCTCGCTTATGTTTCGAGGACCCAGTCTACTAATAATACAGAATACACTCGGGGCATGCCCGAGACCCTGAAAAACAACCAAGAACATTTAACTCCTAAGTCCGTAACCCAAACTCCTAAATCCGCTGAAACCCCTCAACCTATTTATCCACTCTAATGCACGTTTCCCTGTCGATGTTTCTTCTCCATCGGCCGTCTGGTGGATAATCGTCAGTGTCGGCTATTCGGAGGTCTCGGACGGCAAGGCTACCTACTCAGGCCTCTTCCCACATCGCTTTCCCACATAGCAGAGTCCTCTCATGCCCACAGGTACCGCCGATAGGTACTTGGTCGGCTGGCAGCTTGCGCCGATTCGCTCCGAGCGGTCCGATCTTCGATCCGATTGATTCCAGCTGTCCCTCATATATCCACCGGTACCAAAACACTCCCCTCCGGCGGTTTGACGCTCCGGGGGTTATTATTGGGGTCGAAAACGTGTTTTTTATGACTCTGGGTTTTTTGGTCGTAATTTGGTCGCACCACACTCCGCGAGTGTGGTCAAGAGTTGACATTAGCGTACAGAGGGTATTGGGGTATCTACTAGCCTTTCTCTCACTCCCGTAAATGCTTGGCATGCCCGTAACAGCTTACCCCCCTTCCAGGGTGTCACGTCTCGGGACATCTTCTGACAGACTAAGGTTCCAGTAAACCTGCTCCACATATCACCCGCGGTGTCTGTGGAGGGGAAGGACTTAGCCCCGTAGGGTACCTCTATAGTCTCAGGCGTTGGTCCTTCACGGCCTTGGGGTTCCTTCGATGGAAGTCGCGGACAAGGTCAAGTACTTCCTCATCCATAGCGTCCATGACTTGATACGTACAGTCACTCATCGAATAGCCCCGCCATTTCACCAGGTATTCCACTAATCCTCTTCTACTTTTCCGGCTCCCCACGATACTTTCCACTTCGTACAGCACCTCTCCTTCCTTATCGACCTCTTCGGGAGTTGGGGGAAACTGTTCTCGGCCTGGGATACTGCTCTGTCGATACCGTTCCAAGAGTTCGATATGGAACACGTTATGGATTTTGACTTGCGGTGGCAGTTCCAGTTCGCACGCTCGTTTACCGGCTAGTCGGACAATTTTGAACGGGCCGAGTTTCTTATGATCGAGTTTCTTAGTAGAGCGACGAGTCTTGATGTTGGTCGCATTGAGCATAACCATATCTCCCACCTTGAAGTTAGGCGGTTCGTCCCTTTTCCGATCATAGTATTTCCCCATCTTCTCCCTGGTGTCTGTTAAGCGAGCGAGAGCGGAATCATGAACTCCTCGGATAAAGTGAGCATACAAGTCACTGGTTGGGTTGACCACTTCAGCTTCCGTCGGCCAGTTGGTTCTTGGGTTGTAACCATAATTGGTATAGAACGGAGATTGGCCCGTGGCGGTGGTAACCGAGTTGTTGTAAGCATACTCCGCCAACGGGAGTAGCTCTGCCCAATCATCTTGCTCGTAGTTACAAAACGCTCGTAAGTAGTGCTCGAGGGTTTGGTTGACTCGCTCTGTTTGCCCGTCGGTCTGAGGGTGAAAAGCCGTACTCATTCTTATCCTCACATCCAACAATTCCATAAGGGATGCCCAAAAACTTGAAGTAAACTTGGCGTCCCTGTCGGAAACTATATCGAGAGGCAGCCCATGGAGTCGCCATATTTGACCGAGGAATATCTTCGCTAAATCCTGCGCGGTCGTTTCTGCTACTAGGGGAATGAAGTGCGACATCTTCGAGAACCTATCGACTACTACCCAGATTTGATTGTATCCCTTTGATTCCGGCAACTGTACGACGAAGTCCATTGATATCGATTGCCAGACAGAATGTGGCGTGGACAGTGGTAGAAGCGCACCGTATTTCTTATGGCGGCTGGGTTTATTGCGCTGGCACTCGTCACATGACCGAACGTAGTCATCAATCCACTCGTTCATTTTTGGCCAATAGAAGTTACGCGTGATGAGTTCCAGTGTCTTGTCTTGTCCAAAGTGTCCTGCCACTTTCGAGTCGTGTTCTGCCTGTGCGATTCGGATCTTGATACGGTCGTCTGCCGGGATGTAGAGTCGGTTCTTATAGAAGAGTAGCCCGTCTTTCTCAGCAATATCCTTCAATTCCCCCAGCTTCTCCCCTTGCTCAACTCTCTCTTTCAATCCTACCCATGTCGGGTCTCCCGATGCCGCCTGCCTGACATGATCCAGAAAATTCTTAGACCAGTCAATCACCCCCTTGGAGGCAAGCGACACCGCTGATACCACAAACTCTTCCTCCGCCAACTGTCCGGGCTTAAAGAACCTGTCTATCGGCTGTTTCCCAAGCGTGCCTCCCCCTTCAGGACGGTACTCCGGCCGTCGCGATAGTGCATCTGCCTTCCCATTTTTGGTTCCCGGGCGGTAAATAATCTTGAAATCAAATTCCGCCAAAGACTCAGCCCACCTTGCCTGTCGTCGGTTAAGAACCTTGGTTGTTGAAAAATATTCCAAGTTCTTATGATCTGTGTAGACGAGAACCGTTCGGCTAGGTCCTTCGAGGTAGTGACGCCATTGCTTAAAGGCCGACACAATTCCTAACATCTCCTTATCCCAGACGTCGTAGTTGAGTTCCGCTGGGTTAAGCTTTCGAGAATAAAAGGCAACAGGGTGAGTCTTTCCGTCAATAACCTGGGATAGAATTGCGGCGATAGCAAAATCACTTGCGTCCGTTTCCACGATAGTCTGGCGATCTGGAGAGAAGTGTACCAAGATCGGCGCAGACGTAAATAGGGTTTTGAGTTTTTCGAAGGCTGCTTGGGCCGTCATAGACCAGACAAAGTTCTTAGCATCACCCCTAAGACAATCGGTAATGGGTTTACAGACCCCGGAGAAATTGTGGATAAACCTTCTGTAGAAGTTGGCAAAGCCCATGAAGATCTGTACTTCTTTAACGCTGCGCAGAGCTTGCCAATTCGTAACAGACATGACCTTATCCAGTGCCATGGTGACGCCTGCTGGGGCAAGGATGTATCCGAGGAACTCGATTTCGGTGAGCTCGAAGAACGATTTCTTCGGGTTGGCGACTAGATTGTATTCTTGTAGCCTACTAAGGACTTTGCCGACCAACTCTCTGTGCTCCTCTCGAGACTTGCTATATATTAGGATATCATCAAGGTATACTACTACACCTTGATCCAAGAATTCCCTCAGCGCATCATTCATCATATTCTGGAAGGTCGCCGGCGCATTTGCCAGCCCAAAAGGCATAACGAGGTACTCAAAATGTCCGTACCGCGTACGGAATGCTGTCTTCCACTCGTCGCCGTCTTTGATCCTGATGAGGTTGTAACCTTCCTTCAGGTCAATCTTCGAGAAGATAACCGCGCCTGCCACTCGATCTCGTAGTTCGTCCATAAGTGGTAACGGATACCTGTTCTTAATGGACACGCGGTTAAGTCCACGGTAGTCAACGCAAAGTCGTAGACTACCGTCCTTCTTCTTCACAAATAGGATTGGGGCTCCTGCCGGGGATTTGCTCGGCCTAATCTTTCCCAATCGCAACATTTTATCCAGGTACTCCCGAAGCACCTTCAGTTCGACTTCGGATAGGGAGTAAACGGGTCCCCATGGTGGCTGCTTCCCTGGTTCAAGGTCTATTGCATGGTCGTAGGATCGATGCGGTGGTAACTTATCTGCTTCCGATGGTAGGAAGACCTTAAGGAACCCATGGAGCCAAGAGGGAAGAGTCTCACGGAGGTTGACCGATTCATCTTCCAAAAGAGAAATGCTACCGATGAATTGGGCCTCCGGATCGTCCAGTACACCCTCGTCCATTTCTATTTGAGGTTCCTTGTCAGTGAAGCATCGACTCTTGCAGTTCTCGCCATCGTAGGAAACTTCCCCATTTGACCCTATAACCGGCTTATGTTCTTTCAACCACCAGTTCGGTAATATTGCATCGATGCCAAGTGGGAGAGGGGCGATTTCGAATGATAACTGTGTTTGATGCCCCCTTGACATTATAATTAATGGTTGTGTAAAGGCGTGTCCCGTGCCCTTCATAACTTCTCCCGTAAATCCAAATACCCGGGCCGGGACGTCTCGTTTCACCTTCGGGACCTCAAAACTATCAACAAAAACAGCAGACAAAACAGGACCAGTTGCACCAGTATCCAACAACACCTTACAAGGTAAACATTTTTCCGCAAAACAAAGGAACTGATTAACGATAGGTCGAGGACCATGAATAGGTTCCTCCAAAATTTTCTGTTTTTTCTCCGGTTGGGACGCTCTCCCTTCCTGCCTTTTTCTTTTCATATTTTTTTTGTTGTTTTCCGTCAGTGATAACATAGCAATCTGGGGATACTCCTGACCTGACTCATCAGAGTCCCCTTTTAAAAATCCTCATCGAAATCCATCTCAGATTCCGATCCGCGTTCTCGCACAAACGCTTGCCCACTGGTGTACTCCGCAGCAGCCGTTGCAGCCGGCTTCTTAGCACGGTGCCTCATTCGCTTTCTCTGAGGTTGGGGTTCCGGTGGTTCCATATCGTGGTCGCCATCGTCATCGCGGGTACGCTTTCGGGAGAAAGAGGAGATAGATGCACTGCTATTAGCATCTGAACGACACCACTTCCAAAGATGACCCTTTCGGCCACATCGCACACAGGCTCCATCGGTCTTTCGCTGTTCTCGGACCGGCTGTGGAACTCCTTTGGTGGCTTCGTCATAGTCGTGGTATATTGGCTTATTTCCCGACTTGTTCTTGCTAGT